AGGAAGGATCTATTATACCTAATACTCGGGGTAGTTCTCTACTGTTTGAGGCCAGGACAGGAGTATGCGAACCAAGACATATCAGGCCAAATACGAAGGGGTAGACACGGTATGCAGTGCGTGTGGAGAGTCATGCAAACAACACAATGCGACCGAAGAGAAGGGTGAACTAAGCACCAAAAACGAATCACGACCACCTAATCGAAACATATGGGAGGCCAAGCTCGTCCTCGAGGACCCAGAAGAGCAGTGACAACTCGTCGCCAGGGCCAAGAGGGCAGTCGAAGCCAGAGGTTTCCGGGACTAGAGGGAACCCGTAGGGTGGCAGGCAACACTGGAGGTTAGCGCAACTATGTACTTCGTTCTGTCGAGCACTAGGCAAGACGTGCGACTGTACTTGTTTAACCAGTGCCTGGTGGCCAAACTTCTCTGCCTGCCACAGGAGCGGCAGATGCTCAACTATTTCACCAAGGCTGTGGTGCATTAAGGTAAGCCCCGGGGCCTTCGCAGAACCTTATGGGGCTACCTTTCCGGATGAGTAACCAGAAGCAACCGAAAGCCACGTTGGTGTACTCCTCTACCCATTGAGAAAAACGGGTGGGTTCTGCAGTCGGCACTGGGAATCGAGCACGGTACCTCCCGCATTGGTAGTGGACGCTCTAACCATGTAGCCACCGCTGAGGGGAATGACATCGGGCTCGGAACACTGTTTCTGCATTAGATGCTTATTTCTCTCTGTCTCTCGGCATCAATGAAAAATGCAAAATCTGATTTCGAGGGAATTTCATTTTTCCGAAAAAATTCAAGCACTTCATCAGAGTTCCGAACCACAAAAGGATACGTGACATTTAATGCCACACAAATGTCGCTGGAGTAATCCAGAAGTTTCATTGTGCCGCTTAACCTCCTCTGTGACATTGTGACAACTGAACGGTCGGGAACATGGTCTTTATGAACTTTTACCGTGAAAAAAAAACTCATAGGAGTCTTTGTTAGCAGCAAGTACTTTTTTTCAGACAACACAAATTGAACTCTTAGCACTATGCAGCGGTCTCGTGCCAGCGGCAAGTTACATATTTATCAAGTTTTGTCCACATTTACATTACATTTACTTCTAGTATCATCCCCTATACTTTCCCTGGCATCATTATCTGTTAGTTCTCATTATTAATATGTGTTTGACAGAGAAAACGAGCCCTTAAATTTACACTTCTTTCTTACGATGCCAGCGCCTGCTTTTTGTTCTTGGCTGAGGCAATGTTTGCAGCTTTGAAGTGCGTCGGAATCGCTTCTTTTGCTTTCTCACAGTATATTGACGTATATATAAGAACAAATGCACCTTTTTAACGCCTAGCAGCCGGGAAAGCAAATATTTGCAACCGTAAAATTTGTTCCGACGCTCTAATGATGCATAAAAAAAAGCCGTGATATGCACTTAGCACAAATTTGACAAACTTTGACAGTACTGTGGCCTGGCGACCCTTTACGGAGTAGAAATGTCCAAAGAAATGCAGCAGAATTTGACATTGAGTGTTACCTTTTTTTCTATCACAAAACATGCTGAGTGAGCACTCTTTTTCCTGATGCAAGTGAAGGATCAGGAGAGAAAGAGAAAGAAAGAACTATTTACTGAAAAGCAGAGAGTTTAACCGGGATATGCGAATGGCTGACTCGGCGGGGGGAAAAGAATTGAAAGTGGGGAGAGAGAGAAATCACATAAGGTGTTGAAATAGAATAAAAGATGATAGAAGACGTCCTCGTTGCATGTGGACGCAGCTGTTATTTTTCAGGTCTCCCTGTGTGTTTCTATTCACAACTGCAACAGCAAGAGAAATGTATAAGCATATAATGAAGAAAGAAGGGCCTTGTTGATGCCTTTTTTTTTTTGCTGTCAAAGTGGTACGTATGCAGGCTTTTCGGGATACGACTAAGATAGGAAGTGTGCAAGATTAGACGATGTATAAGCAGCCTTATTTCTTGCAGCAATGCACCCACATGCATTGTGACATTCACTTCATGAAGGTAGTTTTTGTTTAAAGCGTCTTATGTGACCATTTTACTCAAAACCGAGTTTCGCTTTACACATTTGAATTTCGCGCGTAAAGACACTGGTCTGGAGGGCATCATTGCATGAAAGACCGCGGTTTTCCCTTTGGCTTGTGACAAAGTAGACTCACTGCTTTATTTTAGTCACTGTATTACCTTATTGATACGTATTTTTGAGTACGGCGTAGTGGGCGGAACAGGTGCTTAGATGACATATTATTGAAAGACAGGGCCTTTGAGATTTGTATTTTTATACAGGACACCGCAGAGAACACGGAGTTTCATACAATAATACCTAGAGGGGAATCTGGCGATAGTGTCTACGTGGGCCCCTTCAGCAGCGCTTGTACCGTCATGGGAGTACAGTGTACTAGAATACTCAGGTACACACTATAATGGGACTTATGGGAAGTACAGGCATCGGATCTGCTTCGAGTGGATCACGTTCTTGAAATTCCCGACACTTGTTTGCTGTATGTAAAACAAAGTAATTTGAATGCATGTCTAACCGAAACTCGCTAAATTTTTTCTACACAAACTTTATTGCAAAAGGTTCTTGTGACTAGGTGGAAAAAAGTAAAACCTGGACAAATTTAACCACTACGGTGCGCATTGCTCTGCCATAGCGTTCGAGATTTGGCATCAACAAGTGTAAATAATTATTCTTCAAAACATTTCAAAACGAACACTTTTGTTTTGCCTTCGAAAGTACGTAATAATTATTTATGTAAATAACAGTGCAGTATTAAGTGAGAAACACTTAACGTTTTTTCTGCTGCGATGTCAAGTGGTCTGCCCCCAACGCACCTCTCGTTTTGTTGTGAAGTCGAATCGGAAGAGAGTGGTGGTGCGTCCACTTCATGTCGCCATTGTTTTGCACTTAATTTCAACGACTTTTGACCAGACGCACTAACAGCAAACGTGAACGCGATGTAATACCCTGCATTAGCATGGGACGCTACATCTATGCACAGCAGTGAGTAGACGACGCTTCGCTCATACTGTCAATCCAGCGTTGCAGTTAATTGAGAGGCCTAGCAGTTTTCAGCTTCTTTTAACAACAAAGGCGCAGCTTCAGTCAATCGCACCCACACCACTACCAACTCCACACAAAAAACGAAACTGAAACTGTTGAAAAAGATTCGTAGACAGTTTGCTGGCTAATATGATCCTATTCGAAGCCTGCAAATAATTCCTTTGAGGCACGCAGGAAGGAAAGGTTCCTTTCCTTCCTCCGTGCTCTGAGGGTACACGATTGCAGCGCCAGATTCCTCTCTAGGTATCATTGTATGAAACTCTATAGCGAAGAACGCCGTCTCATTAAAAATAATAAAAAAAGTACAACTTTTGAAGTGTGCATCTTCTATTATAAAAATATTGGTATTGTAGGCACATACACATTGCCACTTTTTTTAAAACTAAGAGAAGTTTTGGTTTTAAAGATGACAGCTAGCGTCAACATAACGTCAAGGTAAACAATTATAGAGGGCGACACCTGCACCTCGTGGGCCACTGCGCGCGCGCGCTGCAAAAACAGAAGTGTGGTCGCCGGAAGTATCGCTGTTCGAACGAAATATAAATCAGCCGCTGGATTCCGCGGGCATTACCTCGGTGCCTCAGAAGTGACTAGGTAGCCCACAAACTTCTCATTCTCGTTTAGGTGCTTCAGCATTCGATTCCGTTGTTGCGTTGCTCCTTGGGCCAATGAAACCAAAAATCGAGCACAAGTGGCAGTGTATAGGTGTTCTGTGGCGAGCAGTGAGCGACCACTTTGCAGCGGCTACGGTGTAAGGTTTGTCAGCTTTCTTTTCTCTTTTAGTTCATTGTTTTTTCACCAATTGATTGATTGATTGATATGTGGGGTTTGTTCTCCCAAAGCCACCATATGATTATAAGAGACGCCGTAGTGGAGAGCTCCGGAAATTTTGACCTCCTGGGCTTTAACGTGCGCCCAAATCTGAGCACACGGGCCTAGAGCATTTCCGCCTCCATCGGCAATGCAGCCGCCGCAGCCGGCATTCGATCCCGTGACCTGCGGTGCTTTTTCACCAATTGGCAAGCGTTTTTCTGCGCGCGAAACCGCTCTCATTAGACATTGTTCGGAGTATGATGCCCCACAAAATTATCTTTGCCGGCCAAAGCCGAGTACGTACGGCAAAGCCCGTCTTAGCTGTACGTACTCGGCTCTCCAGAGCGGAGAGAGGGACTAGTTGGGCTAGATCACTTCGTACTTTGGAGAGAGTGCTCTACAAAGTGCTCTCTGGCACTGAGTCCCTGTCGAGCTCGAAGGAGCGACCTCGACAATCTCGTAGCTCACTCGGCCGCTGTACTTAGTAACCTTGCCTGTGCTCACTGGTGCTTGTTTTCTTGGTGCCTGTTGGTGCAGTGACCCTGGCTGTACTCGGACCATTTCGGGCTTGCAGCGTGCCTTGGTCGCGACTTGATCTGCCAGTGATGCCGAGGACACACCAGGTGAGCTGCTTGAAAATTCCAACTTTTCTTGCTCGGTTGTGGTAAGCATCGCCGGTTGGACCTCATGGCGAAATGTTTGCATAATAGTGGATCTCTTTGTTTTCGTTTTTCTAACACAACGTGAGAAATTAAATCAGTATACGATTTCAACTGTGTTACTCATTCGACAGTAGTATGCAAAGCATGCAGCACATTAGGGCACCGATTGTGAGAGTGGAACAAAATTTGCTTTAGGAAATATGGTATGATACGAAGAATTGGTAATGACCATGACGTAAACATGAAATAGATATGTTCCCATTCAACGTGAACTTGGTTTACAGCGCGACACCAGAAACACGGACACAAGGAAGCAGGCAGGCAAAAGAGAAAGAGACTCCAGAGCCCTCCACTATGCCGTCTCATAATCACATAATGGTTTTTGGATGTTAAACCCGACATATCAATCAATCGCGAAAGAAATGACAGCATTTTGCACTAACGAGCTCATACCAGTGCTGTCCTGTCTTTTCTTTTCTTTTTTCTCTTTTGCTCCTTCCTTGTGTCTGTGTTTTTGATGTTTCACTATAAACCAAGTTTACGATAATTCCCAGCCAACTGGCCCAACTTTCTGTCTTGCCAAGATATGTCCCTAAATGGACTGATTTTCTGTGGCTGGTCTACCTTTGCTTATATGTTGCTTTGTTGCACATGGTTCTGTGTATACTTTCTGTGTACTTTCTTCTTAACTATTAGCATTCTTAAATGCATCTTGAGATGCGCAGCATTACTGCCTCCACGGTAAATGGGTTCTGCGGAAGCTCACAAGGTCAGAAGAGGCTCATTTTAAGCTAAAATGAATTTTCTTAACACCGAAGCTGCTTAAGCCTGCCATAAAAAGCTTTGGACGGCACAAAAAGCTATCGTCCTCGTTAACCATTGACTCACCCAAAGATAAATACCGTGGAGGCACGTTTCAACTTTGCTGAAGCATCTGTGCGGAGCGCTTCAGCGGTGCATACGAGAGAATAACTAGGGAACTGGAAAGGCAGCGGCCACTGTGTGGAAACATCTCCCACTCTCCCCCGAAGTGACGGAAGCCCTGAGCGAACGACGACATGCCCATAGATTTATGGGAGGTGCGAACACTGTATTTCAGTGAGAGTTTCTGTCCCTGGAGCTAGGGCATTCCGTTTTGTGTCTGTGACTCACTGTGGTTTAACTCGCTCAAGCCTCTCTTCGTGGAGAAGCAGCCAACAACACCTAGCCTTGCAACTACCTACAAGGAAGCAGATCAAACTTAAAAATCAGCCAGATTCACTGTTTCAGGCCTTGCATGACTTAGCGGTAGCTTTGCCACTTTTTTACACTCCCAACTTTTATTTTTCTGATGGGATGGTGGTCATCGTAGCTTCATGCTGCGACTGGTAGGTCACAATCTTATTCTTTCTGGTTGAAATATTTTGACGAACTTTCAACAGAGGAACTTCTGTACTCTGCCACCTGAGCCTTGGTTTAATTGAAAAGTCCTGCTTGAGATGGTTTAAATACTCGCGGTGGCTGGTGATCTTCATATAGTCTGCTAGAACATGTTTGTCATGTGACAAACCTTTATTCTTAATGGCAATGCGAGATGGATTTGTTTAGTATGTGTAGCTTCTACACTTAAAATGTTGACAAATAAGGGTTTCTTGTAAATACCTACTTCATTCTCTCTGTGGTATTTTTCTTTGTGATGCAACGTTGCACATTAATTTTTTCATTGTGACAGTGGAAAAAATCTTTGTACTCGGCTGTGATTGGGGACAAGATTCTTGAAGTCAAGTTTAATAAATGTTCAGCCTGAGGATTTCTCGTAGCACCGATGTTAGCATGTTGATCCATTAGGCTTGCCTCTCATGACGCCAAATATATGTGATGTATTAATGTAGTTTACTAGCAGCTTTGCAAGTTGAGAGCCCCGCAATACCGAAATTCATTCAATTAGGTCCGCTAAACATAGTTGCACATCTTTTATTTCCCACCGTGCATTCTGAGGTAATGTCCCTGCGGCTGGTTTGTTATTTGTCGATAAATCAACCACTCCACATTGACGAGCCACCGAGACAACCTTGTGACTTGCGCGGACTTTCACTGCAGTCTGAGAAGCTTAATACATTAAATTTGTTTAAGTCGTTATTGGTGCTAAATTCATAATTGGCCATCGTAAATACTCTGTAGAGTGTGGAAAAAAGGCTTCAAGGACAGTAGAGCTTCCTATTCACAAGTAGAACAAGAGAGATAGCATGATGAGTCTCTCTTTGCATAGTTTCCTCATTGGCCTTGGCTTTGCTTCTCATTTTACGCCACAGTTGTTGCTACTAGAAAAGGAACATATGGGTCCTTAACATTGGCTGTAAATCATAAAATCGCATACAAATTTAAGAAATTTCTGTGGGCTTTTGTAGGTACAAGCTTGACTGCTGACCCGAACGTGGCGGGATCGTAGCCTGGCCGCGGCCGCTGCATTTCTGATGGAGGCAAAATTGTTTGAGGCTTGTGTACTTCGATTTAGGTGCAGTTTAAAGAAACATAGGTGGTCGAAATTTGCGGAGCCTTCCACTACGACACCCCTCATAATCGTATAGATTAATATTCTATGCACAGATGCACTTCTAGCTGATTTAAGCGCATTGTCATCAAGGACTGCTATAACGAGTGTCTAGCCACTCCGGGTTGGACCAGACACCCTCAGTTCTGAACTGATTCACCACCTTCTGAGGGCACGTTCCTGAACATTATGGACATGCCATGCCCTCTCAATCGCTGCAGGCTCCCCAAGGTGCTGCTGCCTCCAGCTCTGCTTCAAAGACGGCCAACTACCAGCACAGCCCCGCACATCGTGGTCGCCTGGCAAACGAGCCAGTTAATTTGTACGTCGCTTCAGCATGGCCACTGCCGAATGGCTCACCTCATGGCCTGGAAGACTCTGAAAAAGACAGGCTAGGTCACGTAAGTAAACGCAGTTTGCACTAACAGCTTCTGTTCAGGTACTACCAGTTGGCTTTGCTTTATGAGGTTTCTCATGTCTGCATCTGCTAGTTGGCAGTGTCGACATGAGGACTTAGTTCGTTTCTCTATTCATGAAGTCAAAGTTTTTTCCTAAGGGAAACTCTTTAGTTTGTTTTAACTTCCAATGAGTGTGTAAAAAAACTCTCTCGAGGCAGTAGAATTACAGTGGCATTCCAGAATTCTTGTTTAGATTGGTTGAGAGAAGTTGCTACTGGGGGAGTGTTGCAGTATGTGAATGTGCACAAGCTGCTAACCTACAGAGTAATGCCCGAGACCCAGGTTATTGAGGGGTTCTTTTTATGGCAAGTTAGTTAATGTGTGATGTCTGTGATCCTACAAAGCAAATGGGTGTCCAATATGATGATCGTTTGAGAGTGCTTTTTTTATCCCGCACAATACGTTTGAATGAACTAGCGGGGGTTTTCCTTTATGCTGTTCAATACTCTGATATTTGTGGTGCATTAAATTTTCTCTGCTTAGAACTGTAGTATATTCGTTTTATTTGTAGCATCTTTTTATTCTCCACTCTGCTGCATTGTAATAAAATCTGTATCTTGAGTTTTGTATTTATCATTAACCTTTCTTTGTTCAGTGGGCTTTAATACTCGGACTGTGTGCTACTATATTATGGGAACAATGCACATAAATCTATCATTTCCTTGCAAAGCAGTTCTCTTTGGTGTAAATGAAACGTTATTTTTAGGCTTGTGCAAATTTTCGAATGCTTCGAATATTCAACGAATAGTAGAGTATTTGAATTCACTTCGATTCGAATTTAAATATAGAATGTTTCGAAGTATTCGCCTTGCCGTTGACCTGCCTTACCAGAAGACGTCGCATTCGTATGGAATGAAGAACAGCAAAAATCGTTCGACGAGCTGCGGCAACACCTTCAGAAGCCACCAGTCCTCGCACACTCTGATGATGACGCCCCGACAACAGTGCACACTGACGCTAGCAATGTTGGCTTGGGAGCTGTACTCGTGCAGTGGCAGGATGGCGCTGAACGAGTAATTGCTTTACGCGAGCAGAACTCTTTCACTTGCGGAAGAAAACTATTCCACCACGGAAAAGAGGGACTTGCGGTAGTGTGGGCCGTTATGAAATTCCGCCATATCTGTATGGCCGTCCTTTTAATGTTGTCAGCGGCCATCACTCCCTCTGCTGGCTGACAAATTTAAAGACCCTTTAGGACGGTTGGCGCGCTGGAGCCTGAAGCTTCAAGAATTTGACAGGACGGTGGTCTACAGATCGGGGAAGCGACATTCAGATGCCGATTGCCTTTCTCGTGCACCATATGAACCCGCAACGGCAGATGATGACGATACAGTCTTTGTCGGAGTTGTAAACATGGCTACTATCGCACAGCTGCAACGAGACGACCCGGTACTAGAACCCGTATTTCGTTTTTTGGAAGGTCGCACTTCAGCTGTACCTAGACTGTCTGCGAGAGGGCTTTCGTCGTTTTGCTTGCGCAACGACGTCCTGTATAAAATGAACTTCACGTCACACGAAAACGGCTACTTACTCGTCGTGCCAACATCTCTAAGGAGTGAAGTATTACAGGCATGCCACGATGAACCAACATCCGGCCACTTGGGTTACACGCATACGCTGTGCAGAGTGAGGCAGAAATACTACTGGCCAAGACTGACGGTGACCGTTCAACACTATGTTCGGACGTGCCTTGATTGCCAGCGCAGAAAAGTCCCACCCGTCAAACCAGCAGGCCTCCTCCATCCTATTGACGTGCCTGTTACTCCATTCGCTCAAGTCGGAATGGATCTTTTGGGCCCATTTCCCGCCTCATCGGCAGGTCGCAGATGGATTATAGTAGCCACCGACTACCTCACTCGTTACGCCGAAACCAAGCCTCTGGAAAGGGGCACGGCAAGTGAAGCAGCCCGATTTTTCGTGGAGAATGTGGTGCTGAGGCATGGCGCTCCTTCAGTGGTAATAACTGACAAGGAAACTGCATTCGCAGCCGAACCTATTACGGACGGTTTTAAGACTTAGTGGCACATACCACCGGCGAACAACGGCGTATCATTCGCAAGCGAATGATCTTGCGGAGCGTCTCAACAAGACACTTGCGGATATGCTCTGCATGTACGTCGATGTGGAGCATAAAAACTGGGACGAGATCTGGCCGTATGTCACGTTCGCCTATAACACGGCTTATCAAGAAACAAGAACGCCATTCCGCCTTCTTCATGGTCGTGAAGTCACCACTATGCTGGATGCTATGCTGCCGCACGAGTGCAAAAAGGTTGAGACGGATGCTGATTATATCACCCAGCTTGCCAAAGAAGCCCGACAACTTGCACGCCTACGTATTAGTCGCCAGCAGGACTACAATTCAAGATGCTACAACCTTCGTCACCGTCTAGTCTCATACAAGCCAAGAGAGAAAGTTTGGATATGGACTCTTATTCGGCACCGTGGCCAGTCGGAAAAAAATGTTAAGACGGTACTTTGGGCCCTATAAAGTTCTACGACGTCTCAGTGACGTTAATTATGAGGTTGTTTCTGATACTGCGCACTAATCCTTAAGGCGTCGAAGGTGTGCTCCAGAAGTTGTGCACGTTGTTCGGATTAAAGCTTATTTCTTTGAATGAACTCGTGCGTTTCCAGTGAGTACAAACCACTTTGATCATAAAGCATTGGGACGATGCTTTCTTGAATGGGAGGCTAATGTTCACGGCTAAAGGCCGGGCAAGAAGGCAAAGGACTACGAAGTGATGAGCGTGGACAGCACCCACAGTTGCTCCGAGGAAGATGACGTCGAAGTGGCTGCTTTTTTGTTCTGTTAATACAGACCTCGTTTTTCCTGGTCGCACCGTCGTCCTGTATCCTGTTATTTTCACGTCGCGACAATATGAACGAATAGATCCTATATTTGTCCCCATGTAACCTACTGTAAGGGTAGTTTCACTGCAGTGTAGTGGTGTTAAGCCGTGAAATGCACCTTGCTAGGGGAATTTTGCTCTGCCGCGAAGTCCTACTTTAAATTTAAAGGGGCCCTGCAACACTGGTCAAGCATGGCCAGCTAACGCTGCTAATCGGTAGTCGAGGCAACCGAGAACATGTGAGCTTAATATTATAGCGCAGCACGCGACCTGGAATTCACAATAAATTCTCAATCAGATAAAAATTGCTCTCTTCTCTCGGCAAATGACGCCACTGTCAAAAATCGCTCGTCACAGCCATTGTACCAGCCATTGGCTGATTTCAGCATGGTTGTTATTGGGGCCGCCGTGGGTAGCCGCGTATTCAAAGAAAAAGAATTCACAAGGTCACGACGCACACCCGACATATTTTCGTTCCCTATGCCATCTCTCGCGGCTTTGCTTCAAGCGCTTTCGTCGAGACAAGAAGGGAGAATGAAGTTGTAGCATGTGGGAAATTGCTAAACTCCATTCATACTGGACAGGCTCTAGAAGTTTTTGCAGCGGTTAATTCGTGAGGCAATAAGCTTCTTTAGTGAATCGATTCCATGGCTACTTGAAAAGTTGTTGGGAAAACCCTTTAAATGAACATATGATCCTCAAATCGATTGATCATTTTTTTTAAGCTTAAAAGCTTGCTTTGTTGAGTTATACATTCTAACTGTAATGAATAATGTTACGTATTTTACAGGTTACCACTTGCATCCTACTGAAAGTCAAATCCTGCTACTTCTCTAAGTTGTCTCGACTTCATTTGAACGGGAAAGAAAAGAAAGCACTTTTGCATAGAGGCCTTACTTATATTTTAAAAAAATTGTGCAGGACAGTTAGGTCTTGATAAATATGCCCATTTTTCTTCATACATCGTATAGTCTATTTGATTCGAAATTATTCGACCAAAATCGCTATTCGCTTCGAACCTAAAATTCACTATCCGCACAAGCCTAGTTATTTTTGTTGTAACACCTTCTACGGTGGTACTCTTGGGCAAATTGTAGGCTACAAATGAATGCATGACTCATGCGCTAATGAGTGCAAAAAAAATTAGATGCCTTGTCTCTAGGTCTTAATTGCTGGCACCCCAATAATCCTCTGTTAAACAAGGCAACGAGAATCTTAGTGGCAGGTAACACTTCAAATAAGGAGGTGTGCATATGATTCTTATTAAAATTATGTACTTTATCCAACTTGTAGCAACACCCCTCATCTCGGCACCTCAGACCAAAGTTTTTCTAGACTCTGTTTGTAGTACGGAACGCGGAAATGAGAAATTTACCTGTGAACCCTCGTTTAATTGTGCTAATCGAGTGTACCGATTTGTGTCGTGATATTAGAGAAAAAAAACTGTGCAATTCCATTATTGTAACAGTTTCTTGGGACCGTCATGCAGTCGGACCTGGCCTGTTGAGTCAGACGCGTGTGGCCATCGGAATATTGGCATTTTTTTGCTGCCACTGTTAAGCATGGTGGCTTACAGCTTGCGCATTGGAACAACCAGATTGTCTGAGTGCATGTCGAGACTGATTTCTTTAGTGCTTTTAGCTGCTTAATGGAATTCACCACCTGCCCCGATGACCTGGCCAATAACGAGGGCTTACCGTAACTGCAGTAGCTGAGCCAAACCAGTTTAAAATTTGCACGTTCGCAAGAATTGTTGGTCCAAATTGCAGTTTTTAAATTTAAAATTGAGGTTGTCATGTGCTTGCGTCGGTGATGAAGGCAATACTCGAACTGGTGCAGATGGAACTGCATATTTTAAAACCTGTGTCCAGAAAATGAGACAACCTGTGCAATGAAACGATAGTCAAGCATAGTTGTCAGTTTTTGTCCGTAATCTTATTATCGATGGAACATTTCTTCTATGCATGCATGGTTAACTATTGCATTGTTATCGCTGGAATGTTCGATAATGTATATATAATTGCTGAACTCTTGTTGCTTGCATACATTAGAACAGCATTAGCAATGAAAGGTTCCAGAATATTTTGGTGTGGCCTGTCCCATAAGCGGTTAGAAATGTATGCTTTAATAATATAAGAATAGTTGCAGTCTAATGTCCCAAAACGACGTTATGATTATGAAGAACAGTGTAGTGGGGGCAAGTTGGGCCAGTTGGATTACGTTCATAATTGAAAATTTTGTTGAAGCACACTAAAGTACGGACGCACAGAAGGCTGTACTTGTCGGCCTCTTCTGTCTGTCCGTTTTTAGTGTGCTTCAACAAAATTTTCAAATATGAACGTAGTGGGGGGCTTTGAAAATTTTGACCAGGTTCTTTAATGTGCTCCTAAAGCCAAATACATGAGCCTCGCACATTTTTGCATTAATTGAATGTGCGGCCAATACCACTGGTATTCTGTCCCGTGACCTTAGAGTTAACATTCGAGCGTAATCGTCACTACACCACCATAGTGTGCATGTGTTGATTTTGTGAAGGAATTTGACTAGAGCAGGAAAATACAGATGCACCTGTGACAATATTAGCAACTGTACATTAGTCAAAGATGCAGTTAAATGTACATACAGTTAAAGGCAGTTAAATGTACATACAGTAAAATGTATGTGCATGACACTTCAGTGAGGTTACTACAGTAATCCCTTGTTAACTCTAAGCCGTGAAATCCAGGGAAAATTTCGAGATAAGCAGTATTTCTACTTAAGCAAAACGTCGAAAATATTTGCCCAGGTCACTGCAAAAGAAAAGCCAGTGTTGTTGGGAAAAGCCCCACTACATGAGAGCTACTGTAATAAAGGCACAAGAATTTGCAGGGAAAAAGAATTTATCACAGAGGACCAAAAAACTGTGTAATTCTCGTCTGTTTCGCGTTCTTGCTCGGTCCGAAAAAGGCGTTTTACAGTTGGTCAACTCATCGTATGAGCCGTTGGTCGCCACCACTGCATTCGGCCTTGTTGCGGAGCAAGTGTAGCATGTTACGCGTTTCTGTCGTCGTAGGCACTTCTCGGGGCTCTTCCTCTTCTGCGTGGTCATCTGCATTGTTCAAGGCCATTTCAACGAAATCTGCATCCGACAGCATACTGGTAACGGGAACGTCCGCCTCGTTAGAAGCTTTGCTCAAAGCCTTCCAAAACCGTTCGCTTGTTCTTAAGCAATGTCGAGAGGATTGACAAGGGGATGCCGAATTTTTTGGCGATGCACGACTTGCTTCGACATGCTCTTTCCACTTCCTTGATTAAAGCGACTTTTCTCTCCAACGTTAGCGATTTGTACTGCTTTGGGGGCACATCTTGGTTGATATTTGAAAGCATTTGTTGCACAGACCACGCACTGAAGATTCGTCTCGCGCAGATCGCTGGGAACACAGACAACCACCTCGAACATGCAAGGGCTAGCCTTACGTGCTGTCGGCGCGCTGCACACCGTGCAGAAGGAGTGCACAGGTGCACACACTTGATCATTCCCATAGTTGCTTGAGAAGGCGGATAGCAAACGGCTGCGACAGCGGGAATTTCAAATTCACCCTTCACGACCGCGTTTAGCACGTATAGTAAGAGCTAAGCATTTGCACAACGTCCTCGTTTCCTGTTGGGAGTGGACTTTGCCTTCTTCTCTCCGGATCAAGATTTGGAGATATATGCTGTCCCCTGCAAAAACCTTTCAAGAGGGGGCAAATACATGGCGCCTATGGTGGGCGTGGCGAAAAAGTTTCGACTTGACCGAGATTTCGAGATATGAGAGTTCGAGTTAACGAGGGTTTACTGTACACCCAGATGTTACAAAATATCTCTTATAACGAAGTAAATAAAAATTGTCTTGCCATAGACATACTGTTAAAAATGAATTTTTATAATGAACTTTCGGATATAGCACACTTATTTTTCTTGTAAGGTGCAATTTCGTTATGGTGAGATTTGAGTGGTTTTGTTCGCATGCAATTTAGGTAATGTATACCGCACACAGGCAGCACCTTTTACCCAAGTTAAAATGGCACTGTCCTATGGCTTGCTTCAGATGTTAAATGCCTTTTCAGCTCTGATCAGGTTAAAGTAGTGCATGCGCCTCATTGACCTGCCTGTTGCTGCAGGCACATGCGAGCGGTACAGTCAGCCCTGTATCGAAGACCACCAGTACCCAATTAAGCGAAGGCCATGCTGTGGGCCAGCCCAGGAGCTTTTTTGGGACCCCCACACGGCCCCTGCCAACAGCTTCGCCTACGTCTCGTAAAAAGGGGTCCGGTAAACAGAGGCTTCGCCAGGTGAGTGGCTCATAAATGTACCTTAATGAAACGAAAATAAATTGCTATGCACTTGATCTGTAGCACTCGCCTGCAAAAACAAATGTGCACTTTCTCAAACCAAGGTGTCTTAGACCTAGAGCCTTTTTTTAGGGGAGGCCCCCTTTTTTGGGAATGTAAATAAAGGGACACTATAGAGAAAAGCGATTTTTCGCGTATTAAAGAAGTACAAATTTCACAATCTCAAAAACGCCACTCTTGCTGCGACACGACGCTTGGCAAGTTGGACAACTCGTGAAAAGAAAATATGGCTATAGACGCCGCAATGAAATTCATGCACCAGACCGGGGCGTCGTAGATCTCGAAGGCTTCTACTGGGTCCTGCGTAGCTTCTAATAGGTAAAAATGAAGCACATTGTCATCTGCGAGTGCTATAGACCTAGCATACGAAGTTTCGGAATACTTATCTAGCCCATGTCTTGAAATTACGAAAAATACACTTTAAAATTTCTGACGTCACCTGCCAAATTCAAAAATAATACAACCTTGATTTTCTCCGCTAATAATGAACTTATGTTAGTGAAACATATGGCATTAGAGTTCTTTGAGTGCAGTTTGTCAATATAAACCAACCCGTCGCTTCTCTTTAGTGTCTCTTTAAAATGAAATGTTTAGAGTTGCTTTTAACTTTTGCATAGCATTTGTCAACGTGAACTTCAAGTATTTAATCTTTCTAGTGCAACATGTAGGTTTCGAAACATTAATCAGTTTGTTGTGTTAGGAGCAACATCTTTTTTTCAGAACTGGAAGTTGCAGCAAATTGACAGGCAGTGTTTCAACAATGTGTAATTGGTACTGACTGAAAAAAAAAGAATGTTCAAAGTGCTCTTGAACAGAAGTTATATTGCGAACTCATCTTGATGTCGAACAGAGATCGGGTTTTTGAAAGTCGAGCAGATTCAGCACCGCCTCCGTGCACCCGAACATCTGTGAAGCAGTCTACTCTTAGCTGAAAAAGCCAAAAGGTTGCAATTTCTGAAGTAATCATTCAGATTTCACAGGTTTGTGCTACAAATAGGCTGATGCAATTCTTTCTTCCTTTTGTGAATCTTTTGCCACATTGCATGCTTCTTGTAAAATTTTACATTTCCCGATTATTTTAAAATACTGGTCAAGCCAGCTTAGGCTTTGCAACAGTTTTGCAAGCTGGCTGTCCGGGCTTGCAGCTGTCTCAAACCTTGCCCGTGCCGGATGAGGTTTGCTACACTTGCAGTAAAGCTTGACATGGTGTTAGAATCGCAGTTATGCAATGAAAAGCGCGGCTCTAGCAGAGGCCACGCTTAGTGGGTGTACTGTATTTCTGCTGCTAGATTCGGTGACAAGTTCAATCTCGACCGTGGCATTCTCATTTCGACAAGGGGATGCCACGGCCGAGATGGAACTTGTCACTGAATGTAGTACCAGAAATACAGCATACATGAAAATACAGTATAACATAGAAGCACTGATGCAGCTTTAGATTTTTTTTTCTTGAAGGCAGATGAACATAGACTTGCACCCTACACCGACATGTCAATCACTGTGCTATCTAGCTCATGAGTGGGACTAAATCTACATTCTCCTTTAATCGTGGAGGCGATCTCCAGTCGCTTCTATCATCTGGGTGGGTCCTCTCCGGCCTACCAAAATTATTTCAGACTGTAATGTAGATTGTTTATGTGCCTGTTTCAATTAAAGTCCTTCCACTGCAAGCTTTGAAACTGGTTTGCATGTTTTGCTCGTAAAATTCCAGAACTTGAGGTAGCAGTGACTTTACTTGGGCTCGTCTCTTTGTAGCTCTGTTTAGCACATAGCTTGTGTGCTAGGCTTTGTTGGATTGTTCACTTGTTGTTATTTCAGTTTAGTTGACAGCGCTTATCTTTGCGAACCATGAAAATGCTCTAGGCATGCGATTCATAGTGCCATACCTATAAGACCAGGGCACGCTATTATGTAAACATACCCCGAGTACTTCTTGTTAGGCTAGTTGGTAAAAACATGGCTGAAAAATAAGGAATGCAAGGCAGAATACGGCTTAGGTTTTACTTGTATAGAGTCGAACCTGCATATATTGAGATCTCAAAGATATTGCAACTATACTCTGTTTCGGAAGTTCCCTTCAGCACTGTGAAGGCTGCAGGGCCCCCAGCCAATAAGAAAGGCGATCAGCCCCTCTACATGTATGCATTCCGCGCTGTGTCTGCTCATTGAATTGTCCTTCCACGCTCATTGCATGTAACGTGGGTGGTTTATGAACTTTAAAAAGTAATACTGTCAAACTGGCCATTACTCTTCAACTTCAGGAAGTTTGGCAGTCTTAACTATATGATTTGTGGCTCTACGGAAGATCGGTAGACGCTCGTGCCAGGCAGATATCTTCATCTTTGTGGCTCTCTGACGCTGTTCGTGGCTCTGGTATGACTGCTTCTCTTTCGACGCGTTCCTTCTAGTCTCTCGCTGCAATGTTTCTTTTCTAGTCTTTTTTTGTTTCACCGAAAGAGCATCTGACACGCGCGGAACGCTGTGCGAGGTCGCATGTCTGATATTTGGCGATGCAGTGTTTTTCGCTTGGCGGCACAGCCCTGGCATCGGCGCGTTAGACTTATCAGATATGGCTACACAAGCAGCACATCTCGCTAATAACAACAAAAAGTACCTGATGCTTCATCCTCAGAGTAATATCAAACAAATCGATGGCTCATTTGACCATTTATCTGTTGCTGTCAGTGCGGTGGGCGTTTAGCAAGTGCAAGTTGAAATCAAAGCGGGTGGTCGCTCTGCATGGGTGCTGCCATGTTGATTTGTAACCATAGTTACTGCCGGTAACTGATACAAAAAATTAGATGCTTAGGAAACAAATGCGATGAAGCAACATATTGCACACACCAAACAAATGTCAATTTTAGACAACCATGCCAATTTGAAGGCACCTGTATGAGGGGCTACGTTTCGCTACGCAAGCATGTGGTTTTCTTACACCCCGTAGCCTTGGTAGTGCTGAACCAAAGTGGTGTAACAGAGTATAGTTCAATATATTGTATGATTCAATGGGGAACTTTAAAAAGGATTAGCTATATTTTCAGTGCGCAAGCTCATTTTACCGCACTGCTTTATGTTAATGCAAGAAAGGTAGCTTTACAGCAGTGTGTGAGGACTTTTTAAGCTCTTATTTTTCAGCGTTCAGTAGTTACATGTGCAGATTATATATGAAAGCAAGGGTCATGTGCAAAAGTAATAAAGCATCTATGTAAACAGCACCACTACCCACATGTGCAGCTATGTGAGCTCTTTCGGCGCCAAAAAGCCATTAGTCTGCCTCGGCCTGAATTTTGGCCTGGTTCTGTTGGTATCATTGAATGTCACTCTTCGACTTGCTACAATTTCGCATTTGGCATGTCTTGTCACATAGTATAACATGTGTTTAGTAACTCAGCCCTGCGTTCTTTTCGTGTGCACTTTCAGTTCTGGGCACAGGTCTTGGAGAAACCTGACACAGCACTTCTCTTGTCACCAAGCTGGCAACGACCTCAGGTGGGTTCCTGCTCCTTGTGCTGTTGCTCTAAGGTTTTGGAATCATGTTGCGGCTCGGTATCGTTGGGAGGGTGCAACGCTGTTTGCATTATGCTTCCGTATTTGTGGCTTACGTACCAGTGCCTTGAAGCACTGTTTATTATTCACAGCAACGAGTTCTAGGTACAATAGAATGAAGCTTATTGGAACATATTTGAGAGCACTCAGTATTGTTGGCCAGGCAATCAAGAGCACGCTGCTTGAAGTCATTGTACTTACTCAATCTCAGAGTCGACTCTAATGTAGGTTGACCTTTTATAATTGCTCAGCATAACACACCTACAAAAGAAAATCGTGAGCGCATTTAATAAAGACATTTATGTACCATGTCGCTGAAGAAAAACTGGGATTCCAGTTTAGAATAGTGGCTTCATGGCAGCACCTCAGACCTGTACAGACAAGCTAGCTTCACGGCAATTGGCAGGGATTATCTGTAGAAAAGATTCAGCGAATCATTGCTTAAAGTACTGCTTGCATGCAAGGAAATGTAGTATATGTCACAGGCACGGCCGGAAGATAAACTTAATGTTGTAACCATGCCATAGCGTGCCCGATGTCTTGTTAATTTAGGTTTCGGTTGCAAGTCTACCATGGAAACTAAACAGTATTTGGTTTCGATTGAAGTCAATTGCCCACAATGGATTTCAGATTTAGATAAAATGAGTATATCTACAATGGTATAAATACGGTACTAGATAGGGGAAGGGGAAGAGATGCAGGTAAGGTGGGCATCGGGGTTTTTCGTGCCAGTGCAAAGGAGGCAATCGAAAGCGAGCAGCTAAGCTAGAACTGAGCTCTCCACATGGCCGATAACAGAGGCAGCTGGCGCTCCCCCTATCTTGCAGATAACATGAAATGATTGCCAAAGCTGGGCAAAATGACTGGCTACTAAATGTGTGTTGTCTTCACACACATGCTCAATATTGGAGGTGACATGACCGAAAGGTAGAGACATTGTGTATAGGCACTTGAGCTGCCTGTGCAGTCTATAAGCACTACGAAATTCTTTCAACAGCAAGTGTTTCACTTTTTGTTTCTGTATACGTTGCTCGGAACGGTGGCTTGACTGTAAAAGGAAAGTTTGGGGTGCCTACACCATAGGTCGGTAAAACAAAAGTGGAACTCACTCACTCACTCGAAATATACATTTTGTGTTTTGCACTCGCTCGGACCCAGGCTCGCCAAAATATTGCGCCCCGATTCGTAGCTTGATCTGTGTCTGAGTGAGTCCAAGTGACTCGACTTATGAGTGAGTTCGCCGACCTATGGTCTACACCACTATGCGCTTCTTCACATCTGTGCCTACAATTTTTCTTTCCTCAGGTGGCTGATGGTGGTAGAGCTGATAAGAAGACAAGCAAGTGCTCGTCAACAAATATTAAAGGTAAGCTGCACACCTCTGTCAAGATATGCCGCTGTGAAGTGCAGGTTGAAAGGGAGTATGGTTTCGCTTAAATACTGTACGACATTGTAGAAAATAAAGGTGTTAGATAAGGGAAGCAGCATGGAAGGCAACCCCGTGGGAGGCTGGCAAAAAGGCAGAGCAACGGGAGAACGTGGTGAGGGCGAACACATAAACCGAGCTTCGGCGAGACTGCTCTCCTGTGTTTATTGTAGGTAGTTTTATGGAGGGGAAAGAAGGGCGATTGGCGAGCGAGGCATGGGCAACATGACTGGCATGCCTTCACTGGGTTGGTAGCAGGAAAAGGGCATAGTGGAGGCCTATCTCTACCCAGTGTCATGGACAGTGTACTTGCATGACACCAGGGGTCTCACGACACAACAAAAGGGATTTTTACAAACTAAAAGTTTTATATCAATTACGATGCCACATGGTTGGGATGAACAAAAAGAAATGCAGTCGGTAAAGATGGCACACTTTGTTGGCCAAAATTGTGCCCAATGAGAGAAACCAATGCTCAAAGTGCAATGAAAACAGCAGGGATAGACGCCAGTCACCTGAAATCTGAAAATCCGTCATTTCTTGCTCATCAGTGTAAAACTTTCTGCGTTTTTGCAGAGGAGTGGAAAGATTCAGAGACATTCGCAACCTGAGCAGGCCAGTACCTACATGTGTAACAGGTCGTTGCATAAAAATGAAGGGCATGTGGCTTTACACTCTCAGAAAACATAGTCTTGATGTTTGAAACTGAAAATAGAAGCGAACCTTTCTTGGTGGTCTAGTGGCTAAGGCACTCTGCTGTTGACCTGCAGGTCACAAAATCGAATCCCGGCCGCGGCCGCCGTATTTTCGATGGAAGCGAAAATGTTTCCAGTCTGTGTGCTTAGATTCAGGTGCACACTGAGAACCTCAGGTGGTCAAAATTTCTGGAGCCCTTCACTAGGGCTTCTATCATAATCATGCGGTGGTTTGTTTTGGGACATTAAACTCCTACAAGAAGTGGGCAATAAAAAAAATCGCCACCATATCCATAAAGTGAGTCACCTTAAAGGAGCTTACTCGGTGGTGCACGGGGCGTTTCTTGGCCGAGACCATTTCTGTAGGAACGCTTGTTAACGATCCAGCGCATGATGGGTACGCTGAAGGCAGCATTGTCGGGCACGTTAACCACCTGTCCCTTTATGCTATACTGGCCGCTGGCTACAGTCGAATTCGTAACGCTCGTAAATAGCAGATGTGGAGCTATCTAGCATTCTTCAATGGGGTTGAGAGCAGGCAAGTGTTTTTCTTTCCTCCCAGTTCGGAGGCGGCGCGAGTTTGCACGCGACCAGACCAAGCACCACTGACACCCTCCTTTTTTCCTCTCTTTAACATTCCTTTCTCTAGTAACCTCCTGAGAGAGAGACAGTTATGACGCCATGCTTTTCTCTTCACTCTTCTTTCTTACAAAGCCACTTTGTGGAGAAGAGTGGGCAGGTTATTGAAAACCGAAGCCTTGGGTGGCAGCTTGCCATCTAGTGAGCATTTTGGAATCACCGGAGAGGCAACCTTAAGCGGCGACCGCAGAAGTGCACACACTGGCAACACTAGTGTACACGCCGGCAGCCGCCGTACATCAAGCCGTGAGCAAAAGGAGCAAGCTCCTAATAAAGCAAATTGTGTCCTTCAATACTCCGCCTACAACACTGCTCAAGGGGGGAGGCTACCACAGAAGGGCAACTTTTTTGTTTGTTGAAATCTCCCAATGAAATTTCAGGGTAGTCTAATTATAAAGCCATTTCAACAACCACAAAATTTCATGCATTTAGGTTCACTGGTTCCGAAATTACAGCCATTTATTAGGGTAGTGCACATAGGTTTTTCACTCAGGCGCTTGTAAATTTAATCAATGGGCTAGTGCCGTGAAATTCACTGTGATGATTTTTGGATGGATGCATTACACTACGACAGAGACCTTTTTTTCAAATTCCTTGCATAAAAGTTTTAGCAGAGCAACAAATTTGGTGTTTGCCATTGAGATTTTATCAATGAAATTTTAATTATCATAAATTACAGATGCAACAAATTTAAAAAGCAGTTCTGTCACTGTTTGGGCTATTTATCAGGGTACATAATAAAACAAATCTGATAGAAAGTAGATGAACGGTTGAAGAGGTATCGCCAGACAAAACAGCCTCACTGGCCAAAACAAGTCATTTTGAGAAAACGGGCTTTGAAAGTTTCGAACTGGTATTTTGGTCTAAAATTACCCTACAAAGTAGCTAGAAATGTTTTTTAGGACTCTTTTCCTTTTCTGCTTTTTCTGCTTGTGTTGCAGCCATTTCCGAGTCTTTTTCACACGTAAAGCCTCGTTCTCCGCTGCCCATTGGTTGCCGGCATAGCGCCGAGGTTTGGTTGCAAAACAATCGCTATCTTCCGCGGCTAACTCCTCGAACGTCCAAGAACCTGGTGGCAAATGCACAGTCGGCGACACCGTTGCACTGTTCAAGGCCGTAATCACTGCAGTTAGCGAGCGCAACTCGTCAGGCGCACTTGAGCAGGAAACCCCAACACCAGCCTCACTTGTGACAACGGAGCGTTGCGCTGATGGTGTAGCAACCTCGAAGTTATGATAAGCATCAATGCAGTCATCGTCTTGAAAAGACTAAGAAGAAGCTGCTCAGCATCTATGTGACTGTCGCCTAGCATTGGCGCGTGAACAAGCCTCACCATGCATACGAGCCTTATCGGACGCTTTCTTGAACAGAACGCGTGCAGACTCTCAAACTTTGCCTTGCCCACTCTTAGCGACAGAACAACAATCAGCGTCCCGTGAACAAGGTGAAAGATCATCTCATAAAGGTGGTAAAAGATTGAAGAGCACGTGTGAGAACCGAGCGAAATGATGGCAAACGGGACACACCAAGCACACCCAGAGAACAGTGGTGCTTGCAAGACCGCGCCGAGCAAGCACCACTGTTCTCTGGGTGTGCTTTGTTTTGCGATTTTTCGCTTTTCAAAGAGCGCGTCCCTCTTAAGGCATTTCTTGTGGACAACTTCAGGTACTGCATGGTTTCACTGAGAGCTTGCACTGCCATCCGACATGCAAAGCCGCGTAGTCTGAAGTGGCGAGGCGCTCTAGTGCTTTGGGTGGAACTATCGCTGTAGAAGTTTCACGAGCCCACATCTGCATCCACATCCAAACACTTGTTGAGCTTCTATTTCTCGTGAAGTCATTGAAGGTGTTAACGACGGCAGTCAGTCGTTTGCTGGTTCTTGATGTCCAGATGGGCAAGTTGTCTGGCTTCTCAGGCGCGCTGAAGGTACATGGTGATGTCAAGGTTTTCTTCGTCGGTGATGTTGGGTGTTATGACATCGAGCATGATTGTGAGACTATTATCATGAGACATTTTGAAAGGCTCCATCTGGGTGGTTTCTTATAGTGCCGTGTTGCAACCAAAAGTTGCACGGGTTGAGAGTGTCCCAATTTATATATTCGACGTTGACTTACATTACTACCGTCTTGACAGCTGTCTATAGCAATGCAAAAATTTGTGAGAGTTGGTAGAGCTTTGCCGTCGTTGAGTTTTTCTTTTTAGTCTGTGTGTCTGCATTGTTTTAAGACTTCAACTTTTTCTGTGAACCTGCGGCACGTTCTGTACAGGTCTGGCTTTTTTGGTGCAATTAACGCGAATTAAGTGCACTCAATTAGGGTTTCCTCTAGTATTACGTAGATGGCACGAAAGAAAAAAGTAGCCTTTCATTCTTTTGTAGCACAAAGGTACAAGAAAAGCTGTCCGCATTTCTCGAATATGCCTATATATTGAACTAGTTATTTGAGAGTGTCGTGCTCTAGCTAGGAGTGGTCGGATGTGCCTTGGACATTGTAGAACAACATAGTTCTCCTCACATAGTTACTGAGGCATCCTTTTTGACACGTCAGCTGGGGCTTGCATGGGGTGGGGAGTCCCATTTGTTTGCAGCTCAAGACGTGGTGACAGCTCTGCTCTTGCAGCTCTTGATTTCTCTGTCTAGGGACAGCATATGTGTCTCTGGCACGTGTTTTGCGGCGGGGATTGTGAGCAGGTTCTGTACGGTTTAAAGTCGCTGTTATTGAAAGTTCTGCAGCAGAGGAAAAATGCATACTTGTCCCAGATTTGAACCCGGGACTACCTTTCGAGGACTATCGCTCTTACTATCTGAGCCCGCAAGGAATCTAGTAGATATCGGCCTTAGGGTAAATTAAAAGCCGTAAGCACGGGATGCAGACATTCTAATTTGGCATCCCAGAGTTATGAGTTGACTGTTGATTTTTGCTGATGCAATCAGTACCACTGGTCAGCATAGATAACAGTATTTTCACTTTCGCTCGGTAGTGAAGTGTAAATTAGTAGAACAGAACTGTTTCATATTTGCTTCATATGTCCACATTGTGTACGGAGGGCCAGAATTTTAGCAGCTAATGGGTGCAATATGAGAATTCTCTTGTAAGCACATTGCCTGTAAGCATCTTGTGCTTCCTGTCAGCTGAGCCTGTTCATGATGGCCATCTGCAGGCCGTGCAGCTGCACTGACAAAAGACCAGTGTCGATCGCCGTTTACACTGGTCCAGCCTAAGGAAATCACCGGCTGCCAGGTTTCACGGTTACCGCGTCTCATCAAATCGTCTGTGCGGACAGGTGCCAGCAACGAGTCTGAGCAAGCGCGAGTGCTTCCACAGAGTAAGCAGTTATTGTCGTTGTCCCTAACACGTTGTGGTGGCTTAGTGGTGTAAGCACGACGGTGGCACTTAAACTCTTGAAAGGGACACTTGAATGAAACGGTGAATTGGTTTGGATTAATAAAATTCAAGGACTCTGTATTGCCACGAGTATTGCGTTCGTAAGTTCATCATTAGCAAAAGAAATCGAAGTAGAAGTGTCGTTTTAAAATTTCTCGCTGAAGCCTCCGCCCGTAACTTCACCGATTTCAAAACGATTAACAGCTATGCAGGACCGAGTGATGGTGTTTGGTGTGGAAATGGCAAGGTGGTTCCTACACCTTCACTTTCGTTTCATGCTTTTTCTCACTTGCGATGTGTCGCCTCATGATCAAGTGGTGTCTTCAGGAATGTGAAATTGTACTTTACTGATAGAGTAGACTCCTTTTAAATGAAACCTGAAGGGACCAGGAAAATGTGTTTCCTTTAAGAGGAGTTTTGTTTATTGAGAGATAAACAGGGTTATAATATTGAAGTACGAAACCAAACATATTACCGACAGTTGTTCCATTTCAGCAGCAATTTCATTTAAAAGAGTTTCGTGTGAAAAATATTCTTTCTTTAGTGTCCCTCTAAGCTGGGGTGAAACCTTAAAAATGAGTTAGAAAATTTGGCTGTAATGTAGTAATATAAGATATGGCTATGAAATTTGCAAGGAATCATAAAGACAGATGCAGCTTGGCACAGGGGCTCAAAATCATTTCATCTTGTATTTTTTTATTTTTATTTTTTCTACATAGCAAATTTAAAAAAGAATAAGCTATCTGCAGAGCGTTGCAAATTTGCAACAGTGTAACTTAAATTGTGATTGCACAACAAAAGCTTGATTTATGTTTTTGCATTTCTTAATGCATGAAAACTGCCACTTAGGAATGTCATTTTTTATATACTGAAATTCAAATGCACGTATGCTACAGGTTCTAGTTGCATCTATCTAAATGACTCAACACACAATAGAATTTTGTTTGCCTATGCTCTCTATAGTTCCTGAAAAAAGGTACATAAGCCTCTGAAATCTTTTTGAGAGAAATGCAGAGACCACACGAAAATACATGCTCATTTCTCATCAACATTTCCAAGCCCAAAACCAAAAGTTATTTTTGAAAAAGGGAGTACATAAGTGGGATAAATTTTTTGAAAGCTAAAGAAATTTTCTATCGGGTGATGGCAAAATCAAATTTTTCTTCTGAACAAAGTCTCTCTGCACCATCGAGTGGAAGACTGTTTTAGACACAAGTTGCTTTAGTTAGTATGGTATACTTCCGTGAATATGAATTTTCGTGGGCTTATATCGAGCCCCATTGTTATGTATAAGTAGGGTTGTTCGTTTTCGGGTAAAACCTGATTTTACCCGATTCTTGCACCCCGAACAAGTTTCAGGAAAATCGGGTTAAACCCGATTTCTCCCCGGATAAACCTCCCTGTAGCGATCTGCACAATCGTGAGTTGCTGCTAACTCGTATTGATGCTCTTCCCCTTCTCTTCTCACCACTACCTGTCTCCTTTGTCACCCCTTTCTCCTCTCTAATCTTTACATCCTTTCTCTCCTCTGCACGCACATGCGTGAGAGCGTACATGCACCCCCCCCCCCCTAAAAAATGCTTGCAGAAGACAGTGGGAAACACGTTTGAGGCCGGCCATGCTTCGAGTACATTGTGAACAAATTTAGGGTGAAAGAAAAGCAAAGAAATCTGCCCCTTTGCCCACTGCAGATTAGTCTCGGGTATGTGCACCTGCTTCCAAGAATTTCACGCGGAAGGGACGGGTGACCAGTCGGTGGGGGAGAGATTGAGCGATGAAGAAGCCAGCCATACCCTCCCCCAGTGTCCAACCCCGCGCGAACGCCCCTCACTCTCTCGCGCGACACGAGACGAGACGCATATCGCCATCCTCACTTAGCATTACCAGGCGCGTCTTGTGAGCGCAATGCCACCGTCGCGGACATAAGGCGGCACCGGAAACTTCAGCGTGGAGATGGGAAGAAAACGAAAGACACTGGATGACTGCTGTAAAGAACATGAAGATCTCCAGATCGCAACGAAAGACAGTGAAGGCACCCGCACTTTAGTGTGCAAATATTGGAACACCGAGATGGTCACCGATCCAGCGAAGAAGCCCTACGACCGAATTCGTGAGCATCTAATGTCATCTCGTCATAAGAAGTTCAAGACGGCTTCCAAGGAAGCTGAGACTGCGGAAACGTCTCAGCAGACGCTTTTTGATATGTCCTGTAGACAGCGTGCGAAAGAAACTGAAGCGGACGGCGTTATCCATGACTTTGTTCGTGCCCTAGCGTACAGCGGAATAAGCATGCACCAGGCGGATGGACCGCTGGGAGACTTCGTGCGCAAATACTGCAAGGCCGCGAAGACCATGCCAACAGGACAAAGACTTCGGCTGAAATACCTGAAAGAAGCTTTTGACAAGGACATGGAGAAAATCCGCGATGATATGCGAGATGTGAAAGTGAGCGTCATCGTCGATGAATCCCCAGACATCACTGGTGTGCCTACCATCAACACTCTCCTGTGCTACTATAGCCAGAAAAACGTGAAGAAGCACGTTGTTCTGGTCGACGTCGACAGGGTAAATGCATCGAACAGTTACACGGGGGCCAGCGCAGTTAGCAAGGCACTCCTGACGGTTGGCAAGACGGGGAAAGACGTTGTGGCAGTAGCCACAGACTCAGCGGAGTACATGCGAAAGATGGTTCGAGAAATGTGCCAGGCTGAAGGGATCCAAATCTTGCATGTTAAAGATATAGCACACTTTATTCATGTGAGTGTTGACCATGCCATTTCTTTACCATGCATGTCTGATGTTCGATCCGTAGTGATCAAGTTTGGAGCGTTATCACGCTAACAAGCTTTACCAAAAGTACACTGAAATTTGTTCTTCTAATGGCCTCTTTGGACCTGACATTAAGAAGCCACCTTCTGTTGTCCCGAATCGATGGCAAAGCTTCTACAAGGCACTTGTGGTAGTCGTAGAAATGTGGAGCTGGTTAACAGAACTTGCGGAAAGCTCGCATGATAGCAGCAAAGCGGAAGCTATTCGAGGGATACTTTCTGAAAAAGAAGTTGTTTATGCGAAGGCAATCTTGATGAGAGATGCACTCGGCCCACTTTTGGAAGCCCAGAAAACGCTTGAAAGTGGGAAGCTTTTGATGCCCAGCTTTGATCACCTGGTAAACGTGAAGCTGCAGCAGATTGTCGGGGAGCTTTCGGCAATGATCAGTAAAAGCGATCAGGCCAAAGCTGTTTTGTCTATGTTACCCAAGCGCAGCGCTAATTTAGTAAAAACGTGTTCTGAAGAGTTCTGCACAAAACTCGCCACAAAATGGCGCTGCACTCTTGGACGGAACGTCTCAGAAAAAGAGGAAAACCAGCTAACTTTGTGGAAGTTGAGAGTCGTCCTTGATCCGTTTCAGAAGCGTCTGCTGGGGCAGTCATTTGAGGACTACCGACCTCTGTTCATGTCCATACCCGACTAAACTCATTGTAGACAACCGCGTTCTAACTGGTGATGACCTTGCTGAAGCTTTCAATAAATTCTTTACCTCTATTGGAGAGAGCTCGCACGACAATAATTTTGCGCGATTCATGGGTTCGCAAGTAGGCGAAAGTGCATTTCTATTTCCAGTGACTACACAGGAGGTTACGGCAGATTTCATGTCACTAAAGAATAGCAGGTGTTGTGACGTAGACGGCCTGGAAATCCGTCCAGTTAAGCATGTTATTCATGTCATATCTCCTATTTTAGAATACATCATTAACTTAATCTTCTCATTGGGCACGTTTCCTAGTCGTCTTCAGATAGCCAAAGTTTCTATTATTTTCAAAGGTGGTGACAAAAATAGCATGACCAATTACAGACCAATTCTATTTACCTGTATTTCTAAAGTAATTGAAAAGTTGTTACATAAACGATACGTGTCATTCTTAAACCAACACCACATTATATGACGCCTTTTCAATTTGGTTCACAAAGCAGCGCTCAACAGAAACTGCCCTACTAATGCAAAAAGAAATCATACTCGATGCATTGAAAGGAAAATATATACACTTGGAATTTTGTGTAGATTTCTCAAAAGCATTTGACAGAATCAACCACATTACATTAATTAAAAAACTAGAACACTACGGTTTCGGGGAACTTATAAGTGTCTAAACCTATTTGAAATACGACAGCAAAAAGTAGATATAATGGCTACGCATCTAGTTTTAAAAACTGTCACATGGCGTGCCCCAAGGAAGTATTCTGGGTCCCCTGCTTTTTAATCTGTATGTGAACGACTTGACAAACATCGATAACAATACAACATTTATTATTTATGCAGATGATACCAGCTTATTTTTTAAAGACTGCGATTTGCATAAACTAGTTGACAAAGCAAATAGTGTCTTGAAACTGCTGCACATTTTAGAGCCTAAGAAATTCGCTAATTATAAACACCTCAAAAACAAATCTGTGCTCTTTCGTCCAATAAATAAGCCCGTAAACTGCGATTTATCATTAGTGATTGGCTCAGAATCTATAAGGATTGAACCGATAGTGAAAACTCTGGGAGTTTTTTTCCACGAAAACATGCTATGGAAGGATCAGGCTGAGTTTGTCCATGCTAAACTTTCTCGTACTGTAGGTATCTTATCGCGCTTACGTTTTCTCTTGCCACAAAAAATTAAACTCTTTACTATATAATTCGCTATTTTTATCTACATTAAGCTATTGCTATCTAGTATGGGGCACCACATCGGAAAGAACTTAGGCCGAATATATAGATTACAGAAAAAGGCTGTGCGCATAATTACAGGTGTTCCTCGCGATGAACATTCCAAACCCATTTTCGAAGCCCTTACTTTACAACCATGCCTGAGATATACAATACATTTTAATGAAGCGATATCGTACTTCCTTAAAGAATCACGACTCTTTTCTTACTGATTTAGCGCGTTTGACACCCTATACCTGGCCCCTATAGCACACGAGCTACCGATGACTGGAAAATTCCTTACACACGTACTAACTATGGTCGCCAGATGATGAGCTACTTACTGCCACTAACCTTAAACAGTTTCTTACAATAAACCATTTATACTGCTCCGTTCTGTAAATGTTTTTCAACGTGTTAATAAAATGCAAATCGGCATGACCTTGAAGTACATGTTTTGATATTGTATAATAACTGATGATCTCATGCTGCTGTTGCTGTTGCTATGTTGTCAAATGGTGCGAAAGCCTTCGTCAAGCCTTAATGGCTTTTTGCTTTCGCCCACAGCATCACTGTTGTGACTTTTGTAATGTCTCCTGTGATGTCGGAAATAAACTGAATTGAAAGAAGCCAGCCATACCCTCCCCCAGCGTCCAACCCCGCGCGAACGCCCCTCACTCTCTCGCGCGACACGAGACGAGACGCATATCGCCATCCTCACTTAGCATTACCAGGCGCGTCTTGTGAGCGCAAAGCCACCGTCGCGGACATAAGGCGGCACCGGAAACTTCAGCGTGGAGATGGGAAGAAAACGAAAGACACTGGATGACTGGTGTAAAGAACATGAAGATCTCCAGATCGCAACGAAAGACAGTGAAGGCACCCGCACTTTAGTGTGCAAATATTGCAACACCGAGATGGTCACCGATCCAGCGAAGAAGCCCTACGACCGAATTCGTGAGCATCTAATGTCATCTCGTCATAAGAAGTTCAAGACGGCTTCCAAGGAAGCTGAGACTGCGGGAACGTCTCAGCAGACGCTTTTTGATATGTCCTGTAGACAGCGTGCGAAAGAAACTGAAGCGGACGGCGTTATCCATGACTTTGTTCGTGCCCTAGCGTACAGCGGAATAAGCATGCACCAGGCGGACGGACCGCTGGGAGGACTTCGCGCGCAATATACTGCAAGGCCGCGAAGACCATGCCAACAGGACAAAGACTTCGGCTGAAATACCTGAAAGAAGCTTTTGACAAGGACATGGAGAAAATCCGCGATGATATGCGAGATGTGAAAGTGAGCGTCATCGTCGATGAATCCCCAGACATCACTGGTGTGCCTACCATCAACACTCTCCTGTGCTACTATAGCCAGAAAAACGTGAAGAAGCACGTTGTTCTGGTCGACGTCGACAGGGTAAATGCATCGAACAGTTACACGGTGGCCAGCGCAGTTAGCATGGCACTCCTGACGGTTGGCAAGACGTGGAAAGACGTTGTGGCAGTAGCCACAGACTCAGCGGAGTACATGCGAAAGATGGTTCGAGAAATCTGTCAGGCTGAAGGAATCCAAATCTTGCATGTGAAAGATACAGCACACTTTATTCATGTGAGTGTTGACCATGCCATTTCTTTACCATGCATGTCTGATGTTCGATCCGTAGTGATCAAGTTTGGAGCGTTATCACGCTAACAAGCTTTACCAAAAGTACACTGAAATTTGTTCTTCTAATGGCCTCTTTGGACCTGACATTAAGAAGCCACCTTCTGTTGTCCCGAATCGATGGCAAAGCTTCTACAAGGCACTTGTGGTAGTCGTAGAAATGTGGAGCTCGTTAACAGAACTTACTGAAAGCTCGCATGATAGCAGCAAAGCGGAAGCTATTCGAGGGATACTTTCTGAAAAAGAAGTTGTTTATGCGAAGGCAATCTTGATGAGAGATGCACTCGGCCCACTTTTGGAAGCCCAGAAAACGCTTGAAAGTGGGAAGCTTTTGATGCCCAGCTTTGATCACCTGGTAAACGTGAAGCTGCAGCAGATTGTCGGGGAGCTTTCGGCAATGATCGGTAAAAGCGATCAGGCCAAAGCTGTTTTGTCTATGTTACCCAAGCGCAGCGCTAATTTAGTAAAAACGTGTTCTGAAGAGTTCTGCACAAAACTCGCCACAAAATGGCGCTGCACTCTTGGACGGAACGTCTCAGAAAAAGAGGAAAACCAGCTAACTTTGTGGAAGTTGAGAGCCGTCCTTGATCCGTTTCAGAAGCGTCTGCTGGGGCAGTCATTTGAGGACTACCGACCTCTGTTCATGTCCGTAACCGACAATTTAGATTCCCTTAATGACGAGTTCAACCAGTATTTGCTGGAAGCGAGCCCCACAAACCCAGCTGTCGAACTAATCGAGTATTGGCATGACTCTACTTCTCGCTACCCAAGGCTTGCAAAAGCTGCACTGACATTGTTGTGCCTAGCTAATGGTAGCTGTGATGTGGAGAGAACTTTCTCCCAGCTGAGATATGTTCAACGACCGGACAGATCTCGAATGGAGACTGACATGTTGCGCATGCAGATGGTAATGTATGTCAACAAGGACGTGTAAAAAATTGATGACCAGATTTTCGAGAATAAAATGTATAATTTCTAAGAGTCAATGTTTACTGATTCATTCATTTTCAAACACCACTGATTCATTTTCAAACAAACACAAAATTTCGGGTAGTATACTGTATACTGTATTTGCTATAATACTCTGGTGTCTGTCCCAATTACCAGCTTGAAACACCAAATTAACGTGTTATACTTAAAAAGCCCTTGATACGTTTTGATAAGCTCAGTGTAAGTTCTGATGAGTACAACCGTATATTTAACGCGAAAAAACCCGAAGCAAGGGATGGTTTCGCAAAAAAACCGAGTTTTCCCCGAATATCAGTTTGAAAAATACCGCCCGATTTTTACCCCCCGAATTTGAAAAAATATAAAACCCGAAAACGAACAACCCTATGTATAAGGTGGAACTTCGACTGTATGTAACTCGGTTTGGCGACGACCCGCATTTTACACCGAATCTGTTTGGTCCCAGCAAAATCCTCATAGAAGCAATGTAAATAACCCTTGGTTATATAACACAGTTTTATGCGGACCCCGCAGCCTTCGACGAATTTCAGATTCCATCCGAAAAAATACTAGAACCAAACGTCGTCCAAACGTTCAAGAGTGCAAAACATAAGCTTGTGTTCCCTCTGGCTGGAGTAGTTACCTACAAGCTATAGCCACAAAGAGTAGCTTCAGCTGGCCGAAGAGCTGATATTTTTCTCGTTTTCAATCCGTGGAAACTTGCTCTGATCGACATAGAGCTGATGTCTTTGCTTTGTCGCAGTCACAGGCTCGCGCATGCATAAGGTGGCGACACAGCTGTTTTCACAGTGCAAAATTACTTTCACTTGATGTCCGTCTTTGTGATAATAGCGAGAGATCACTAGTTGCACTTCACAAGCCAACAAATTGCAATGCGCACAGCTCAGTCGTGCACGAAGGCATTATACGCGAACTCATGGTCTGTCGCCATTATGTGATAGCGATGACACTGCGACTCTTCTGATGGGAGGCTGTTGACAACACTGTTTCAGTTTCGTTTTCTCGCACTGGCTTATACAAGTTTGATAATACGACGCCTGGATTATACAAGTATTGCATTTTCGCATGGTCCCCCGAAAGTTGTATAATGGTGGTTCCACTGCACCAGACTATTATTTTTAAATGATTCACTAGAACTTCATAGGATCATGTTTTTGATAAACTGGCTACTGGTAGGTGGTATAGTTAAGCATGTAACACAAGAACATCTCTTATCTGACAACCACTTGTGATCATGATAGAAACTGATATCGCTAAAAGGGCTAGTATCTTCCAAGTGGTCTCGATCGTCGAAGTGGTCTCAGTGGTCTCTGTTGCTGCTTGTCGAGGTGTATCAATCGGCCGATTCCGCCTTGCCGATGCTAAGTTTAAAAAAACATTGCTGAAGAAAAAGGATATGTGCCCAGTCAAAGCACTCGTAACTGTAACACACAGATTTTACTGCAAATATTTTGCTGAGTACGTTGCTACAACAAGCTTCATGTATCTGACCAAGTTTTTGGAGCAGCTTCGGTCGCCCATCGCACCGCTACTAATGCCTAAACATTCACAAGTTGATCATATTCCATGACAAAATTAACAAGTTAAGCAGTGACAAAAGGGAGATCCTTCCAAGGAGGGCGTGGAGCGATTAGGATGGAAAGGTGGGCTAGTTGGTAATTCATAATTGTTCAGCCAACTGGGAGTGTGGGAGGAACACACACACAAAGCAAAGAAGAGGCACGCAGCACGAACGCTCGTGCTGTGTGCCTCCTCTTTGCTTCGTCTGTGTCTTCCTCCCACGCTCACAGTTCGCTGAACAATTATGAGCAGTGATTAGTTTGAATTTGACATCTTTCAGCTGCGCAAAGTGATGCATATCTTGGCAGTCGTAATCATCAGCGCCCAGTGTATGCATTGTCATTGTCAGCTTGAAAAACTCGAACGTGGTAAGGTTCTTACAATGTTCTGGCATCAGGGGTGTAAATTGTAGATATCACACCCTTAGAGTATCCAGATTTATCTGCGATATCTAAACATTCGTCACTCTCTACAGGTATTCCTGTCAGTCCTTTGTCTTATTACTGCCGGCAGCGAATTGCCGACATTCAGGCTGAAGGAATCTCGAGCAAAAAGGGGTCAGAGCTGCCACAACACATAAAGCCATCTGTACCACTGGCAGAGCATAACGACTCAGAGCGGAAGCCAGCACGCCCATTGCCTGTAGATGCACTTCCAACAGGTACGCAGACGTTTTGTTCATGCTTCTTGACATCAATAATGCATGGTAGGTACCCTGTTTATAAGAGACACCTCATATAAAAGGCGAAAATCGCTGTCTGGAGCATGCCTTATAAAGGGGTTCATCTGTATATTCAAGTCATTGCAGCCACATAATGTCTCATTGAAGCACGCCCCACCAGATACGTTTGACAGGAAACAGTTTAAACTTTGTAGTTATGCAAAAATAAAAATTAAGTGAAGATGTATTTCTCACAGCAGCCTTTTTTTCGTCCCCAACTTTCCGGGAGCAAAAATGGTACTTAACTGTTCTTTCAATGCAAGACCACTGTTTCTCTGCTGCCGTTACCAAAAAATGCACGGGCCTAATCCTGTGCTTTAAACAATGGTGGGACAAGCATACCTCTTGGAGCATATGGGGCAGACATGGCAGCCCCCCTTCCCCCTCTGACTCTTTCGTGCGTAGGCGGTTGTACTCTTTCCGAATTTTGTGGTAAAATTTTGTTTTTATGTTTTCTTAATAAATATTATTGCATTTGAGTCCCAAGCTCACAGTAAATGATTTAATGATCAAGTCCACGCATTCTACTTAACCTTACCCCTTCTGCCCACCATTTCACCAAACACTCAATCCCGCACTCACGTGCTTGGCACTTTTGCAAATGACCGAGAAGACAAACAGGCTGTGCTGTAGGTTTTTTGCCCTTCTTGTCCACAGGCAGTGCTATAAAGTTCCTCATCCCGGTCTGCAAACACTGTGAAAGATGATAGTCTTTCTTGGGGACCTTCGACCGAAGAATTTTGGTCTGTCTCTCTGTACATTTGTCTGTTTTGCCCACCTATATTGGTCTGTCTGTCTGTACATTTGTCTGTTGTGCCCACCAATATTGCTTAAGATTCAGCATTCATAGTTATGCGATTGTCAATTAAAAAGCAATTATTACGCATATCTGAGGCACCATAACACGTCGATGTTTTGTATGTGTGCCTTCATACTAGAAGAGGCACACACACGTAACTAACTATAAGGACTGTAGCGTTTATTGCTCTGCACTGACAGTGCAATGCGATGCTCAAAAAGTAACTGTTTCCAACACTTTGCTAAGACCACGCAGTGGTGGCACCTGCCCATCACTTTGCGTTCTACACCTTATCACCTCCGAGACAGGCGCGCATCTTTCTCCGCAAGCGCGCACACCTTCGTTCTCGAAGATAACTGCTAGATGGTGCTCTGGTCTAATATGCCTCTATGCGCTCGTTCGCCTCAGCTACACGCTCGAGGCACTCTAACGCAGCGCCTCCAGAATACAATTCACCGATTTTCTTGCGCAGAACATCAAATAAACGTTTTGTTCACTCTCTCCAGACACAAGACTATCATCTTTCGACGACATTTACAGTTAACATCCAGATTCGGGACCAATTTTTTTAGTCGTAAGCACCATCTTTGACATTTGACAGGGAAGTAGGTTCTCTCTACACTGCTCGCTCCCCTTCAGTAGAGAGGGTGAGATACCGCAAACGTCTCTGCTCCTCGTGGTTATGAATGTCTGCTCAGTTCAGAATAGGAGTAGCCTTTGCCACGGCAAGACGCACGCTCGTGATTCACACACACGAAACTACTGCTGAATCCTCCTTGATGGTGGCTTCCTCCGCGTTGTTCTTGTGCTCTCTTATGACCCATTGCTTCTTGTTAGTGTTGCATATTTAGTTGCCTCATTCGTGTCTCGGACTCCCTGGCGCTTTCCTCGCACCCCTTGTCTTCGACAAGCAGCCCGGGCACCTTCGGAAGCTGCCCCGTCGCAGTGGTCTAGCGGATAAGGTTTTCGGCTGCTGACCCGCAGGTCACGGGATCGAATCCTGGCTGCGGCAGCTGCATTTTCGAAAATGCTGTATGCCCGTGTGCTGATTTGGTGCACGTTAAAGAACCCCAGGTGGTTGAAATTTCAGTCCTCCACTGCTGCCGCTCTCAAAATCATTTGGTGGTTTTTGGACATTAATCCCCCATATCAACCAAATTACCCTTTGGAAGATGCCAGATGTGACACCTAGCTGAAGGCACGTGTCGCGTTTGCCACCTTCCAGATAAGTCACCCTGGCTTGCCCTAGATAAGTCACCCTGGCTTGCTTTTTTTCAGTCCCACCACTTTGTTTTTCTTCCTCCTGCGCTCTCTCACAAAGGTGCCATGTTCATTTTGTTTTTCGGCCGGGCCACTTTCGTCGACGCTGCCAGCCTCTTTCTCACTGCTCGTTCCATTCTCTTCCTTCTCCTCCTCTTTCTTACCTCTATCCTTCCCGTTGTCTTCCTTCAAATCCGGATCCAAATGTGCAGCTTTCTAGCCGCTGATGTCTGCATTCTGCGTGGTCTCACTTTCCTTTTGCCCGACGTTGTTTTCAGCTGTACCTTCCCAGTTTTAAGGGCTGCTGTCGCCTCCTGTATTCTCATCTCCATTCTCTTCAACAACCACCAATTTTAGTAGTACCGAGACAACTCGAGCTCTTCACCTACTTGAAGTCATCCCGTTCACTCATTTCCATGCATTTCATGCCACTCATGTTCGCTACACTCTCATCATCCCCTGACCCTGAATCATAGCTGATATTCTTCATGTCAGTGGCCTCATGCAGGTTCGAAAACCAAGTTTTGGTAGGCATGGAATCCCTCTTGGCAGTGCTGCTGTCCCCGCAGGGGCGCCTGCGCAAGTAGGCGTTTGGTGTGTAGCGACACCCCGGACCCGAGCTAACGGGGGAGTTTCTACTCCCTCCAACGCCTAGCCGTGCGTGGCTTTGCCGTGTCCGGGGAAAAGGGGATCCTGGGGGTTGAGTTGACGCTGGGTGATTGGACCTTTAAGGCCCCCCGGCAGAGGCAACACACCCCTTTGGCCCCGGCTTCACGTAGACGGCACCCCTGGGCTGACCCACCCAGGGGAAATCGGCAGTCGCCTTTTCCTATCTCTCTCTCCCTACATCTTCGTCTTTATCTCTCACTTTTTATCTGTCCTGTCTTCTCCTCTCTTCCGTTTACTTCCAAACTTCCTGGCGGCAAGGGTTAACCCTGTGCAAATAGCCTACCTTGGACTAGGCGCATTGGGTTATAGCAGTGTTGTACGGCTGACGTCTGCAAGCTTTCAGCACCTGCAAACTTGCAGCGTCCCCTTGTTGGGCTCCGTGGTGGGTGGCCGCCAACGCTGCTGAACAAAAACAAGACCGGCATGCATGGAGCATTCCCTCTTCTGTCTGATCGTACCGGCCTAAAGCGGGTACGCACCGACGACATAAATTTCTTCAACCAGCCAACAGACACTTTTCCCCACTTCCACGTCATTCACTGCGAAAAAACCGGAAAGCAAGCCAGGACCGTATCTCCTTTCGTAGTTGCAAGGTGTCTTACTGAAACTCTCGGGGCTGGATACAAAGTAACCGAAATGGCAAGCGGAGACCTTCTTCTAGAAATTCGGGACAAAACACAGTTTGTAAAGCTAGACAGCCTCTCAACGTTTGGTGACGTACCGATCACCGTAACACCGCACAGATCTATGAACACCACTCGTGGAGTGGTATCTGACGCAGACTTACTTGACTTGACCGAAACTGTACTTTTGGAAGGGTGGAAGAGCCAAAATGTTAATAATGTACAGAGAATTATTATCAGAAGAGATAATAAGGAAATACCAACGAAACACTTAATACTCACGTTTGCATCCAGTAAACTACCAGATTCCATTCAAACAGGGTACACGAAAATATCTATCAGGCCGTACATACCAAACCCTCGTCGTTGCTTCCAATGCCAGAGGTATGGCCATGGCTCTAAAACCTGTCGTGGTCGCCAGACTTGTGCACAATGTGGAGTCCTAGGCCACGTGTCTGAGAACTGAAAACAACCGCCACACTGTGTAAACTGCGAAGGAAACCATGCCGCATATTCACGCTCCTGCACATACTGGAAAAAATAAAAAGAAATAATTACGTTGAAGGTGAAGGAGAACATTACATTTAAGGAAGCACGGCGAAGAGTCACTCCATTTTATGGAGCTACATACGCTGATGCGGCGCGTCAGGGGGCACCGCCGCACCAGCCCTCGCCACTCCTTCGGCCCGCGCATACCGAGCCGGAGGTTGTGGCACCTGCCCCCAAGGCGGTTGTAGCCCAGTGTACACTGCCTACTCCCAAACAGAGACCGGAGACTCCAGAGTCCTCGGGTCTCAAGGCCTCACCTCACCAGGCGAGGCCCGAAATTCGAACTAGCAGCCCGCACGTGCGGGCATCCAGTGCCTCCGAGGAGGCAATGGATACGTCGGTACCCTTGGTGCCGAAAGAGCGGCGTGGCTCCTTGGAGCGCGCCAAGAAAACAAAAAAGCCGATAACAGTGCCTGGTGATAGCCCTGTTAAGTGAACTCAAACTCCCTGTCTAAACAGCCACTCGCTTTTCGTACACACAGCACTATTTTACATTCACCATGAACACTGAAATTATACAATGGAACGTCAGGGGCCTTCTCAGAAACCTTGACGACATCCAAGAACTCTTACACGAACACTCACCAAAAGTGCTGTGTGTACAAAAAACACACCTCAATTCAAAACACACAAATTTTCTTCGTAAATACGTTATTTTCCGAAAGGACCGTGTTGATGCTATGACATCATCCGGAGGTGTTGCCATCATAGTGAATCAAGGAATTGCATGCACACACTTACAACTTCAAACATCCCTTGAGGCAGTGGCTGTTCGAGCAGTTCTTTTTGATAAATTGATCACATTCTGCACCATCTACATTCCTCCTAGCTATCAGCTGCAAAAACGCGATTTACACTCTCTAATTGATGAACTTCCGGAGCCTTATGTTCTCCTTGGAGACTTTAATGCGCATAGCAGGCTATGGGGTGACTCTCGGTATGACACGCGAGGTCGACTGATCGAACAGTTCCTTATCTCGTCGAGCGCGTGTCTCCTAAATCGAAAAGAACCAACCTATTATAACCTCGCTAATAACACCTACTCCTCCATAGACCTGAGCATAGTATGTCCATCTCTTGTGCCCCTACTCCAGTGGAAAGTCGTCAGTAATCTGTACGGAAGTGACCACTTCCCTGTAGTTTTGAGCACAACGACAGTAACTGAGTGTCCACCACGTGTTCCCAAGTGGCTCATAAACAGAGCCGACTGGGTACAGTTTCATACTATCGCCTGTCTAGGTTGGAATGACATCTGTACTTTGAACATTGATGTTGCTGTGAACTACTTCACAGCGTTTTTGATTGATGCTGCAACAAAATGCATCCCACAAACAAATGGACACCCTGGAAAACGATGTGTGCCATGGTGGAATTCTGAATGCCAAAACGCGCGCAAACAGCAAAACAGAGCTTGGAGGCTGCTTCGGAACTCACCGACAGCCGAAAATCTTGAAACCTTCAAGAAAATAAAGTCTCAAGGCAGGAGAACGCGTCGGCAGGCCAGAAGAGAAAGATGGCAAAAGTTTTTATCAGGGGTTAATTCATACACACAGGAGGCTAAAGTCTGGAACATGGTCGGTAGGATAGCAGGAAAACAAGTACACACACTTCCACTCGTAAACACTCAGGGTGATACCTTGGAAGATCAGGCAAACTTCCTCGGTGCACACTTCGAACAGGTATCCAGCTCGTCCCACTATACTGACACTTTCCAAAAATACAGAACAAGAATAGAAAAGCAGAAACTTGAACACAAATCCACTAGATACGAGGCATATAACCAAGCTTTCAATCTAGCTGAGCTCCAAACATCTCTAAACTCCTGCAGTACTTCTGCCCCAGGTTCTGACCGTGTGATGTATGAAATGTTAAAAAACCTACCAAACGAAACCCGAAAAACCTTACTTTGTTTGTACAATGCTATTTGGTCTTCTGGCACTATTCCTACCTCCTGGAAAGAGGCTATTGTTATTCCCATTTTGAAAGAGGGCAAGGACCCTTCTTTACCCTCGAGTTATAGGCCTATAGCACTTACAAGCTGCTTGTGCAAAGTCTTCGAAAAAATGATAAACTGCCGACTTGTACATTTTCTTGAAACAAATAATTTGCTCGACCCATTTCAGTGCGGGTTTCAAGAAAGTAGATCCACCACAGACCACCTTGTTCGTATCGAGGCACAGATCAGAGACGCGTTCGTCCATAAACAATATTTTCTCTCTGTGTTCCTCGATATCGAAAAGGCTTATGATACTACATGGCATTACGGAATTCTAAGAGACCTGTCCCACCTTGGTGTGCGCGGAAGAATGTTTCATATAATCGAAAGTTACCTGTCAAACCGGACATTCCGTGTCCGTCTGGGCAGTGTGCTCTCCCAAACATTTGTCCAGGAAACAGGCGTGCCACAAGGTGGTGTGCTTAGTTGCACACTTTTTATTAATAACATGAATTCTTTGCACTTGTCCATTCCCCGCAATATGTTCTATTGTACATATGTCGACGACGTTCAGCTTGACTTCAAGTCATGCAACTTGGCCATGTGTGAGCGGCAGGTTCACCTGGGTTTAAATAAGATCTCCAAATGGGCAGATCAAAACGGATTTCGACTTAACCCACAAAAAAGCACGTGTGTCTTGTTCTCCCGAAAGAGAGGCATGCACTCGAAACCCGACATTCAACTGAACGGGCAACAACTGTCCGTCAATGCCGAGCATAAATTCTTAGGCTTAATCTTGGACAACAAGTTGACCTTCGTACCCCACATAAAGTATTTAAAAACAAAATGTTTAAAAGCCATGAATGTTATAAAAGTGTTGTCACGTACTACGTGGGGTAGTGACAGGAAATGCCTCATGAACCTGTATAGAAGCCTTATTCGCACCCGCGTAGATTATGGGGTCATTGTTTATCAGTCAGCGACTCATAGTGCTTTGAAGATGCTGGATCCCGTGCACCATTCGGGCATCCGCCTTTCTACGGGTGCTTTTCGCACCAGCCCCGTAGAAAGCCTTTACGTTGAGTCAAATGAGTGGTCTCCTCATCTGCACAGAACCTACATGTCCTTTGTATATTTTCTTAAGGTGAAAGCAGACAAGAGGCACCTCTCATACTCTACTATTAATGACTTGTCGAGCTCCATTCTTTTTCAAAACAGGCCTTCAATGAGGCAGCCCTTCTCAGTTCGCCTGAAGGGTCTAGCTGAGGACACTGGAGTGTCACTCGAACACAGTTTAATGTCTCCTGTTGCATACCCGCCACCGTGGCAGTGGCAGACTATAGAATGCGATGTGTCTTTTTTAGAAGTTACTAAACATGCGCCTATTGCTCATATTCGAACATACTTCTTGGAACTTCAACACAAATACACACGTCCTGAGTTTTTTACAGATGCCTCTAAGTCTAACTCCTCTGTGTCCTACGCTGCTGTTCGCCCTTCCTTTTCGGATGCTGGCCCTCTACATCCAGGCACAAGTATCTTCACAGCGGAAGCTTACGCGATACTTGTGGCAGCTAAACACATCAAACAATCACAAATACAAAAAGCAGTAATTTATACAGACTCCCTCAGTGTGGTAACGGCTCTGCATAGTCTTAAAAAACAAAAAAACCCTGTCCTCGTTTCACTTTACTCCATTTTATGCACCCTCTACGCACTCAACAGACATGCTGTTGTGTGCTGGGTGCCAGGGCACCGTGAGATTCAAGGCAAAGTGATGGCGGATCAGCTTGCTGCATCCGCCCACGAAAGCACCGCCATTACACCGACATCAATCCCGGCCCTTGATCTTAAGCCGTCTCTCAAACGAAAACTCGGGGACTACTGGCAGAGCAAGTGGGATACACACACACAAAACGAACTACACGTTATCGAGCCACACCTTGGCCATCGGCCACCAGTATCAAAATCACGTCTAACAGAGGTAACACTAACAAGACTCAGGATAGGACACATATACACGACACACACACATCTTTTGTCTGGTGGTGATCCACCATTGTGTGATAAATGTGGTGAGGCATTAACAGTTCTTCACGTTTTAATTCAATGTAAACATTTAGACAATCTAAGAAGACAACACTTCCCACTATCCTACCGACAACATATACCTTTACACCCTGCAATGTTCGTCGGTAGGGAACCGCTTTTTAGTCCCAAATCATTATTAGCGTTTTTAAAGGAAATTCATAATTTTCATATCATATACCCGGGCATACCGTAGCACGACCTCTCTAGAGAGGTTTTTGCTGCGGTGGCTACACAGGAAAGCACCTGCCTCACGGCCCTTGCACGCAAGGGTACTAACGTGTGAGGTACTTGTGCTAATGCCATACATGTCCACCATCGTTTTTCATTATCACCAACTTTTGTCACCTATTCACACCACACACACCTTTCACGGCATGGTCATGATTTTATTACTTGTATGTTTTTACCCGCTTTACTGCGAGGAATTTTATGGCCCTATACAGCCGCTAATCACAACCATTGTCCACATTCCTGTCTCATGAACTGGCGCTCTTTGGCCATCAAATGGCCCTTGCGCCAAAAAACACCATATATCATCATCATCAGTGCTGCTGTATCTGACGTCATATGACGATGCCTCATGGGTTGTGGCCCGCTAGTTAAGACCCCTCTAGCCTCGAGCGATGTGTTGGTCCCTGTGTTGAGCCGTGAATGCCTCTAGCAGTCGTGCACACTCGAGATGTGTCTGTCACCAAAAGATCACACTGTGCGCCGGTGTGGGAACTCCAAGCCCTGCCTGCCCACTGTTTCACAGGCTTCGAGTTCCATCGCGCCTCTCCCACAGGGACGCAACTTTACCGTGCCGTCTACGGTTAGAAGTAGCTTTCACGAAAGCGTACATACCCCTGTGGCACATACCCGCTCTAGAGCGGGTATGTGCCACAGGGGATGCAAGATGGGAGATGGCGGTACTTAAAGTGTTCACTAAATAGACAGACGGACAAACAGACTAGCAGACGGACGTACGGACAGGTGGACGCATGAACAGACAAACAGACAGATGGATGGACAGACTCGCAGACGGATGAATGGATGGATGCACGGATGGTCGCGCAGACGAATGGAAGCAAGAACGGACAGACTGAAGCACGGATGGGCTGACGGACGCTTCACCCCACTCATCATCATTCACTCCGTGGATATGCTGAAATTTTTTTTTTGCATAGGAATGGCAGATGCGTCCAGGTGTGACTCGTGCGATAGTGGTGAGTCAACAGAACATCAACTGTGTTCCTGTGATTGTTTTGTGTGTGAACGCAATGTGCTGCATAAAACGCTGAACAACTTGATGATAGACCTTTTTCCAAATGGCAGATCCTCGGATCATAGCTCTACACGTCGCAGGCCAGCAAAGCGAAGCGGGCGTTGCTAGGTTTTTGAATGTCAACTGAAGTAAATGAGCGCTTGTGAGCGTGCAATGGACAGGCGCACATGTACTCACATGGAAGGCATGGTTCAACAACATGGAAGAGCTCACCAGCTGGGACGTCTGTGAGATGAAGTTGCGCGAGTTATTCGGTCAATCTGTCGGGTGCAAGCAGGCCGCTAAGAAAGAACTTGTTAACTGTGTCCAGACATCCACGGAGTCTTACCTGGCCTATATTCAAGATGTCTTGACCCTCTGCCGTAAGGCTGATACCACCATGACCGAAGCCGACAAGGTTGCGCACCTACTCAAGGGCATCGCTGATGAGGCCTTTAGCCTCCTTGTATTTAAAGGCTGTTCGACAGTTCAAGACGTCATTAAAGAGTGCCGACGCTTTCAAGAGGCTAAAAGCCGTCGCATTGCCCACCACTTCACCCGTCTTCCTAACACCACTGCAACGTCAACTTGTGAGGACCTCAGTTTTGAGACGCAGCCCAATCTACCCTCTGCTGACATTACGGGGGTCGCTCGACGTAAAATCGAAGCGATGTCACCAGCACCCTTGAGGGTCCCGACGCCGAACGATCCTCAGCCCACCATAACCCTCATACAGAGCGTTGTGCGCCAAGAATCGGCAAACATGGGCCTTCAAACGATTTGTTTTGTGCACCGACCTGATGTCCATTCACCTACCTTGAACACCCGTCAGCGCTACCGGCATCCCGCTCCACGTATCCAAGATCCAAACGCATAAGGACGCCTGACGACAGGCCAATTTGCTTCCGGTGCAAACGAGTGGGACACATTTCGCGTCTTTGCCGAAGCACGTGGACCTTGTCCTCGTGCACAAGCCCAAACTTCACGAACTTCGATGCATTAGCCCGCCCTTCTAGCCAAGAACCACCCCGCCGTGATGACTCAGCCCATTACGACATGACTGCCACGACCAATGCCCAATACAGCCGCTTGCCTTCACCGCGATCTAGATTCTCGCGGTCTCCTCCGCTGCCACCCCGCTCCCCATCCCCGTCTTTCGCCTGAGGGTTTCCTTCGTAACACTAACTGGTGCAGCTCCTGGAGGTGACGCTGCTGCTACGACTTGCCCTACAATTCCTCTGTTGACCCTCCCGACCAACTAGAACTTGATTGATGTAAAAGTGGATGGTTTATCTGTTAAAGTTTTAGTCGACACTGGCACCCAAATTTCTCTTATGAGCTCGCACTTTCCTGACCGCTTAAAGAAAGTCTTGACTCCAGCCCCTTCACGCTGTGTTCATGTTACTGACGGCAGTGCAGCTGCCGTCGTTGGTGTCTGCACAGCACACGTTACTATAGCCGGCCACCAAACCTCCGTCCTCTTCACTGTTCTCACCAACTGCACCAATGGTGTTATCTTTGGCCTAGACTTTTTGCCCGCCCATTCGGCCCTCATTGACTGTTCAGCTAGCTCGTTGCAACTTGAACCGGCCCTGTACGACTGATACGCTCAGTCCGTCCCAAATTCGTCTCTGCTCTGCTGAACATGTCCATTTGTCACCGCAAACAGTTACGTGCATTGCTGTAACAGCGACGCCACCTGTACCTGATGGAGGCTACGTGCTCACGCCCATTGCATCCGTCCTTCTGACTCGCAGTGTTACTTTTTCGCACACTATTATTCCGTTACTGAAAAACCGTGCTTGCATTCCTTCGCTGAACTTTGCTCTGTGTCCGCAAGTGCTTCCGTGTCTAATAGCTCTCGCCACGCTGACACCCTCTGAGGATTTCACCATCTCAGCTTTGTACCCCAATAATGTGCATCGCCCCAACTGCACGCAAGTCTGTTCTTCGACAGAGTCCATCTTCTAATGTGAAAAAAGTGATCGCGGTGGACCTTTTGCCGCATCAAACCGACGTGTTCCATCATGTCCTGGAATCGTACTTTGATGCATTAGACTTCTGTGACCGTCCGCTAGGTCAAACCAGCATTGTGAAGCACCGCATGACAACCGATGAATCTCGGATGCAAGCACCGATGCATCTCCGGTACATCGACGGCCGTACCGCATTTCTCCTGTGGAGCATCAGGTCATTCAAATGGAAGTCGACAAGATGCTCGCGAAAGACCTAGTTGAGCCATCTTTTAGTCAACGGGCTTCCCCTGTTGTTCTTCTAAAGAAAAAGGACAACAGTTGGCGATTCTGTGTCGACTACCGACATCTGAACCGGACCGCTAAAAAAGATGCCTACCCGCTACCGCGCATTGACGACGCCCTGGATTGCCTTCATGGCGCTAAGTATTTTTTTGCATCGACCTTCGCTCGGGGTACTGGCAAATTGCTGTCGACGACATGGACCGCGAGAAGACTGCTTTTGTGACCCCTGGTGGTCTTTACCAGTTTAAGGTCATGCCGTTCAGATTATGCAATGCTCCAGCTACCTTCGAACAAATCATGGACACTGAATGATGGAAACAGTGGTCAATTTGCCTATGTTACCTCGATGACATCATTGTATTTTTCCCGACCTTCGAAACACACCTCGACCGCCTTTTGTCCATTCTTTCCGTTTTTCGTAACACAGGACTGCAACTGAACTCATCGTAGTGCCACTTCAGATACCAGCAAATAACCATCTTGGGCCATCTTGTCGACTCTGGCGTATGCCCTGATCCTGATAAAGTTCGAGCTTTGCAAAACTTCTCCGTACCAACCAGCACTAAGGAAGTCCGCAGTACAAATTTGCGCACATGCCAGGACCTCTTACGGACTTGTTGAAAAAAGATGTTCCACTCTCTTGGGGCGCTGCGCAGGCTTCGGCGTTCTCTAATCTCATCGCGTTGCTCACAACACCATCTATTCCAACCCATTTTGACATGTCTGCCCCAACTGAAGTCTGCATTGATGCCAGCGGCCACGGAATCGGTGCCGTTTTGGTCCAGCATCGAAGTGGCTGCACCGGCGTTATCGCATATACCAGCCGTCTGCTCTCTACGGCCGAGCGGAACTACTTGATTACTGAAAGGGAATGCCTTTCTCTAGTTTGGGTGGTTGGCAATATTCGGCCCTACTTACATAGTCGCCGTTTCACCGTCGCAACTGATCATTACGGTCTCTGCTGGCTCTCGTCATTAAAGGATCCCACAGGGAGTCTTGGTTGCTGGGCACTACGGCTCCAAGAATCATCATCATCATCATCATCAGCCTGACTACGTCCACTGCAGGACAAAGGCCTCTCCCATGTTCCGCCAGTTAACCCGGTCCTGTGCTTGCTGCTTCCAATTTATACCAGCAAACTTCTTAATCTCATCTGCCCACCTAACCTTCTGTCTCCCCCTAACCCGCTTCCCTTCTCTGGGAATCCAGTCAGTTACCCTTAATGACCAGCGGTTATCCTGTCTACGCGCTACATGCCCTGCCCAGGTCCATTTCTTCTTCTTGATTTCAGCTATAATATCCTTAACCCCCGTTTGTTCCCTAATCCACTCTCCAAGAATACGACTACTCAGTGTCTTACAAATCTGGTCGTTTACACCTTGACGCTGACTGCTTGTCCCGCCATTCAGTGGGCCCCCCTGAGACTTGAAATGATAGATGAAGGGCCGCCATGTGTGCTTTCTCTCTCTCTCTGCTTTCATCAACATGCGTGATGAACAGCGCCGAGATACCGTCCTGCGTGACATTATTGAGAAGCGCAGCTCTCCGACGCCCCATCGGTCTACTGGACTGTTTGTGCTTAAAGGCACCTTGTACAGCTACAATGTCAACACAAATGAGTGCGAACTGCTCCTCGTAGTGCCTTCCCACCTACGTTCGAGTGTTATTGCCCAGCTCCATGACACCTCCACCGCCGGTCACCTTGTTGTCTCTGAGACTTACGACCACGTTCATCGCCGATTTTACTGGCCGAGGCTTTATCGCTCTGTCCGCCGCTATTTTGTCGCATGCGACCAGTGCCAACGTCGAAAAAAAAATCCCTTACGAGTCCTGCCGGACTTCTTCTTCCTGTTGACCCCTTCTTTCCTGTTGACCCCTTCTTTCCTGTTGACCTTGACCTTGTGGGGATCTGAGGCACGCCCGCGACCATTTCGCGGGCATTCCGCCGCACGACCACACCCTCTTGCTCTGGTAACGGGGCGTGGCGATAGATGGCACCACGTGCGGGCGCGGCACGTGGTACGTGTGCGCTGAGGGAGCTCTCTCTCCTCCGTGGTCGGCGCTGGGTAAGCACGTGTTTTCTTCGTCCGCGTCCCCTTTGGGAATCGCCGGACTATAGCCTGCCTGGGGTGGCCTTTGGCACCTCGGCAGGCGTGTTTACTTGAGTGCTAGCTTCGGTACCGTACGCTAAGCCCACCACAGCGGTGCCTAGTGCTTTAAGTGGTCGTACCACACCGAGCCGCACTTGCTTCAGGCCTACGCGTACGAGGTTTGCCCTAACACTCGCGACCAGGCCCAGTGGCCATCGTGAGAGTGCGCAGCATAGCCGCGAGGAACCTTTTCCCGGCCGGCGTGTGAAAGCTCGCCATTGCTAGCTGCGACGTGCTCGCGGTTTCCTCTTTTTGTGAACGTCCGTGTTTGGGTGCCTTTGCTCCCCGCGTCCCGGGAGCGGACGTTGTACTCTTGTTTGGGGTGCCGCCAAGGGCAATGAAGTGTCGTGTATTTATGTATTGGAACACTGTCTGTTTTGCCGCGCCGCGCTAAACGCCTTATTAGTTGAGCGCTAATAAGGCGTAGTGCAGCTGGCACGCGTCGTCCCAGTTGCACTAACTGACACGGCGGCCAGGTGGCATCGGCTTTCCGGCCACCGAGCAGCAACCCTCGATGAGTTCCGCGCGGCCTTCCTGCACGAATTCTTACTCGCTGACTACAAGAGTAGGATGCGGCGCGAGCTCGAGCTCTGCACGCAAGGGCCTACTGAGTCACTTCAGGAGTATGTACGCGCGATGGAAGACCTTTTTTTCTATCGCTGAGCCCAGAGCCTCGAACGAGGAGCCCGTCGAACGGGTGATCAGGTAGGCACACCCGACTTTTTTGGCATACCTGCGCAGCAGTCGCTTTCGTGATTTGGAGGAATTGGCCGTCGAGGCAAAGCGCATTCAAGGCGACGTTCTCGCCGCGCATGCCTATCGCCCGACACCGCCAGCCAGCGAGGCCATTGAACCGCGCTGCGCGTGGGGAGGGGCCATGACCCTTCCTCAGAGGCAACAGCCCGCCGGAGCTGCCTTTGCGGCTACCGCTACAGGTGGGCGCACGTGGGAAATAAGCGATCTAGCTTTAGATCCCTACACGTACGAGAGGCGTGCAGCCGGTGCTGCATCGCAACTCGACGCGCGCGAGCAGGGACGAAATCTGACCCAGCGCATCACCGTTCGTGACGGTCGTCAGAGCGGTTCCTTTGATCACGCGGCGAACCGATCCCTGCAGCTCGCAGCTGCTCCGTCTAGGGAAAGGGGCCGCGATGGAGTGCGCTGCTTCTGCTGCCGTCAACGAGGGCACATAGTGAGGGAGTGCTCCGCGTTTGTGCCTCCTGTGAGGCAGGGAAATGGGAGCGCGGGCCGTTCTTGAAGGCACGAGCGGCCGAACCCTTGCTTCTCCCCTCTGCGTACCTGGCAAGCAGTCTTGCTGGTGCGCACGCGCCATTTATTTCGGTCACCATTGTTGGTCGCGAATTCTCGGCAATGCTGGACACGGGCGCAAGCGCTTCGTTTGGCGCACAGGTGTTGTCCCACTTGCACAAGCGCTCGGTGCGCTTGCGGGAGAGCCGAACGACATTCACCCTCGTGAGAGGCGTGGCCCAGTCGGCGGGCGCCGCGAGGTTGACTGTCAGATGGGGAGGCCGAATGAGACGCGGGCTTTTCGTTCATCTTCCAGGGCTCAGTGTTCCTGTGATTCTCGGTCGGGACTTTCTCCTAAAAACCGGTATCGTAGTGGACATTGCGAATGGAGGCTATCGCGACGTACCTTTTTCCGAGCTAAACCCGGTATGCCTCACGCGGGCTTTGCAACCAGGGGCCACAGATGTTGCCGATTTCTTCTGTACGATGTCATCTTCCATCATGAAGCTCCATGCCAACTCCTCGCAGATCGTGGACGCTATTTCTCTCCCGAGTTTTTGAGGACTGCTTCGTTTGGCAAAACCAAACATAAATTTAGGACAGCCTACATCCACAAACTAATGGGCTTACCGAACGATTCAACGGACTTGGATGGTATGCTCTCCATGTACGTCTTCTGACCACCTAGACTGGGACGTGCATTGTCCTTTGTTAAATTGCATACAATTCCTCACGCCACGATACAGCAGGGTTTTCACCATTGTATCTCATATTTGGCCGCGACCCACCTCTGTTTTCGAGCCATATTTCAGACAGCTGTCGATTCCCAATGAATACGCCCGTGACACTATCACCAGAGCTCGCAAAACACGAGAAGTCGCTTGAAAGTCTTAGCATCGCGAGAGCAACAGAGAGCAACGTTACAACGCACAACATCGTGATGTCTCCTTTGCCCCGGGTTCCCTTGTGTTGTTGTTTACCCCGACTCGCCATGTCGGTCTCTCCGGGAAGCTGCTTTCTCGGTGCTCAGGATCCTACCGGGTCTTGCGCCAGGTGACCGACGTTATCTACGAGATAGCCCCGCTGATTCGTCATTCCCTCCGATCCATTGTCTACAGACATTGTTCATGTCTCCCAACTTACAACTCTACTACTCCTCAACACCATAGAAAGCATCGAGACGGTGTTTCTGCACCCGGTGGTCATGTTACAAGACTACATCACGCTGAAGGAGCAAGACAAGCAGCGAGAAAGACGACGGGATTCTGGGATGTGGAGCGCGCTCTCGCTTGCCATCTCCGCTTAGGCTTGGCATCGTGCAAATACATCTCAACTGTCACCTCGTTTCGCTGTGTGCCCTCCCTAACAATATAAAGAAAAATCGGCATATATGTCATGACCTAACTAGTCGACGCAATATACATATTTTTTTTAATTTAAGTAAGGCCTGTGCAAAGGCCATATTTTTGGTTCAGAGGAAGTGGAAACAACCTTGAATAGTAGTCGGTGACTTCTGTTAGAATGCAAGTGACAGCCTGAAAAATATGTTGTGTACTAAAATTTATTATACTTTGAGCATATAAGCCGACATAACAAGCGTTTAAGCTGAAAAATAAAGAATACATGTTCATTGAACCTTGATTGGGTCTTCACGATAGTGCAGATTTTTTTTCAATAAAGGCGTTATTCTTATTCATGATGCCGCACTCCTCCGCTGCAGTGAAACCACCTTTGCGAAAAGGTTACATGCGAACCAGCATACACCTATTCATTCATTTCTTCGACATTTCCAATAATATAAATCTGAATCGAAGTGAATTCAAATACTGTAATATTTGTTCAAATATTCGAAGCTTTTAAATATTTGCACAAACCCACTCGATAGTAATGAACAGACCACTACCACTCATTTGTCATGATCTGGCCCGGGTCTTGACGTGTAGTTTTTAAAGGAGTTTCTGTAATTCCAAAGTGAATATCGTTCACAACTCGTATTCAGGTCAAAAAGCAGGTTCGACAGCATTTCGACGCTTGTGTGCACATTAGACGGCTGCCTTCTATGCTTACGTTTTGGCTTGCTAAAACAGTTTAGTGGGCTCCTGGAAGGCTGCTCCTTCAGCTTATACTGTTATGTTTATGTTTTCCCAAGTAAGAAGTCACTGTTTTTTTCCTTAATTTTTATTTATTTATTTATTGCAATAACTCTTAGGGTCAGAGGCATTATAGAGGGGAATGGTACACTTAAAAAATACAATGGATACTTCGTTCTGTCATTCTTGATCGGGGTTTAACTGCAGTGGAAGAATGAAATTGCACGGTTACGGTTAAATAGTTAAAGGTCATCTCAAAGGCAGTATATCCAATTACGTGCATTTTTCAACATGTTACGATACCAGACTACGACACTGTTTTTCAATCGCTTCATATGAATCGGCTAATAATGTTTCTAAGTATTCTTTTTTTTCTGTGAACAATCGTAAAGTAGAATGCCCTAGATGCACCCACCGTTGAAACCAACAGTATAGAATTGTTCGGCTCTTTACTTGCCGATCGATTATGTGAAGTTCCGTACTTATGCATTACATGCCTATCGCCTTATCTTTCAACTTGAATTGGTTGTCTGATTTTGTTTTTAGACTTTTTTTCTTTCTTCTTGTCTATACATTTTGCTCCTTTTTTGCTTCACAAATCAGGTTAATTCTTTGCTTTATATTGTCTTCATTTTTTCACTACCGTTTTTCCTAAAATGTTTTATGCATCATTCTTGTTTGTAACCCCACTCTGCGACGGCTTTACCCGGAGTTGGCAGTATATTCAAATAAAATAAATATAAATAAAATGTTAGCAAGGGTGGCACCAGGATTATTTTACCATGATGAGCGAGTTCCTTCAGGGGGGGGGGGGAAGCTTAGTCATTGTTTTATGACTATGTTTCCTTTCGTGGAGGCAACGGGAGGTAGGGCGGGTGAAAATTTTGGGGGAGCTCCAGCCACCCCGTGCCCACCTTGGGTGCCGCCTTTTAATGTTAGCTGAAAAAATAACAGTACAAGTTGTAACTATGCAAGCTAAAATAGGACTGTTAGTGAAATTGCATTTTAGCATAAAGAAGTTTTAGTAAAAGTCTTAACGAAACAAACAAGGATCAGACTTTGCAAAAAAAAATGTAATCACATAATTGGTTGGTTGCACAATAGTACACTTGAGCCTTAAGTGTCATAAGAATGAGAAATAATAGATGTGATTTATTCTGGAAGATTCTTCTAGTGTTATGAGGTTCGTGGAATAAATGACCGATAACATGTGCGAGTCAAGCATCGCATGATTCCCACCTTTTGGGGATAGACAGAACGAGTGTCGATGCACCGTGGAGGGAAAATGAAGCCCTTATGCAGGGTGTGACTATAGTATATTTTGGGAAAGGGACATATGCGGGAGAATTTACGCCGACGGGTGTGTGACGGAAGTTTTAAACAGTATTCATTCAAGTGATAGCTGCGGTACAACTGTAGTTTCTAAGGATAAAGCAGACAGAACTATATTGGACTAGCTCAAGAGCAGAGGTTAGTTTAACGGTGGACTGGTCCCAAATGAATGCAGTATATTTGTGTTTACTTTCTACCAAAGTTTTGTGAAATAGTTTTAAAGGGACAAGGGTTACCATTACTAATGATTTCGTTAATGTGAACAGACTAGGTAGGAGTGCTAATACATCCAGATAGCGATGGGATGGTATGAGCGGGACAGCGGAGTTGTCAAGCAGATAAGCAGTGGGGAAAGGTGTTCGGGAAAAGTTTAAGACTTTCCATTCAGTAGTGTTTAGGGTGTGGCTGTACTAATAGAGTAGCAGTCAAAAGCACTGCATCATGTAGAATACTTCTGGAGGTGAAAATGACATGTCCGATAGACGGGGTGGATCTTGAAATTGAGTGAACTCGGTATGCTCTGTTTTTGATGCCATGTGCGGGGACTGCATGCGTGAAACCTCGGAAGCTCCGACGGCTGGTGTTGAGGCGAAAATGAACACCCCTATGAGGTGAGTTTTCAAAGCCATTTTTTACAGTTCGACAAAATACTTTAGTCTTTACAAGGATATAGAATGAAATATACTTGGTTCTGTGCTGAGAGTGATGAAAACTGGCATAGTATACTGCTGAATGCTTTAATTGGTGGTTCTGAACTCCGAAGTAGTAAACTGCATCAGACCTCTTAGAAGTTTCTGTAATATCATTTGTGTTTGCATGGTTAGTGTGTATGTACACGCAGTAACCAATCATGTAAAATCATTGTATCAATGTAAAAAGTCTGTGAGGAGATGGCTGTGAGCTGTGTCGTTTGATTGAGCTATTCGTGGGTGAACTTTTTCTTTGTAAGAATAAAAATTGGCAGATCCCACCTACAGTGGCAATCGCTGATATGCGAAGCAGGAATGAGAAAGGTTAATATGTCATTTTAAAATCAGCACAACGTTACGAAGTGGAGGTAAATAATGCCATACATGATTTCCGTCTCATGAGCGTAGCATGTAGTTATGTTGTTACATGATACGCATCTCACGATTATCATGTTTGCACCTGTCACATACCTTCGTTATTCATTCAAGTACGTAATACCAAGTTTGGTATATGTGACCCTAGCAAAACGGCCACGAGCGCATCATGAGCTTGGCATGTAATCATGTTGTTACATGGCACGCATGTCGTAATTTTCATGTTAGGGTCTGTCGTATGTGTTCGGCATGTAATCGTGTCATACCATACCAGTTTTGTAACATGCCTTGCGAACAAAATTACCGCAAGAACTGCAAGATCATGAAATGTAAATCATGACATTCATGTAATGGTTTTCAAGTTGTGACTAGTCAAATATGTTCTTCATACAGTCATGTTATGCCACACCAAGTTTGGTATAGATACCATTATCAAAACGGCCAGGAGAGCTAAAAGTCCTAGGCGGATAGATGGATGGATGTGGATGGATGGATGTGGACGGATGGATGTGGACGGATGGATG